CCACTAAAAGAAAAAAGAAAAGAAATACTTATAACCTCCATTTTGTCAAGATGGATCCCAGAAGAAAGAAGCCTTCATGCTTACTCCACCAGGGTCTCTCATACCACTCTGCCTTGCTATGCTCCAACCACACATCCTTCTTCCTATGCTTCCAGTGTTCCTTTAAACAGGCTGTTTCCTCTACCTGGAACTCTCTCCTCTTTCTCTACCTCCACCTCTCCTGGCCTAACTCCTGATCATTTTTCAGAGTTCAGTCCTAGTTATCAAGCATAGCAAATCTTTAAAAGTTTGCTATTTGTTCTCTTACTTCTTTTTCTTGACTTTTAAATTTTGAAATAATTATAGACTAATAGGAAGTTGCAAAATCTTACATAGGGTCCTGTGTACCTGTCATGCAGGTTCTACCAATGATAACATAGGTAACTGTAATTCAAAATCAAACCCAAGTCATTGACAGTAGTACCATACTGTTGCTACACTACTCCAATTTCTTAAAAACAAAACTATGTATGCATGTATATGTATATGTATGTGTATATGTGTATTCATGTATACACATATATGTATACATATACATACATGTATACATATCCATATATGTATATATGTGTATACATATGTATTTTTTCTTTTCTTTTTAAAAAACAGTTCACAACTTGTATAAGGCTTTACTGTTCTATCCTGTGTAGTAGGTAAGGCTGAGTTGCAGGTCTTACGGCAATGATGTAATCTTTTGTGTGAAATTTTTAGGTAATACTCCTCTTAATATACCTTGTGTTAACAAATGACTTTTTAGATATTAATTTGTGGTAAAGACCAAGCTGCCACAGCAGAAGGTACACATGGTATCAAAACATGGCAAAAAAGTTATGGAAACAACCAAGATGCCCCATTACTGATGAATGGGTAAAGGAAATGTGGTACTTGTACACAATGGAATTTTACTCAACCACGAAGAAAAATGAAATCTTATCATTTGCAGGTAAATGGATGGAATTGGAGATCATTCTGAGTGAGGTCAGCCAGGCTCAGAAGACCAAAAATCGTATGTTCTCCCTCGTATGCAGACTTTAGATCTAGGGCAAATGCAGCAATGTGGTTGTACTTGGATCACAAGAATAGGGGAGAGCACATATGGAAGATATAGGAATAAGTAAAAAACCCAAAACATGAAAGCATTTGATGTCCTCACTCCAGAGGAACTAATACAGAAACCTTAAAATGACAGGTTATCACTAACAGGGGATCAGGAACTAATGTAAAGATCAGTTAGAGTTGAATCAACATGGATCATAACACATGGGTACACGAAAGCAATAGTAGGAATCTCTCTGTATAGCTGTCCTTAACTCAACTAGCAAAAACACTTTGTCTTTCTTATTATGCTTATGTCTTTTCTTCAACAAAATCAGTCACAAGGGCAGAACGGGACCTGCCTGAAACTGAGGAGGGGAGGGGGGAAAGGATGGGGGAGGAGGGCAGGGTGGAGAAATGATCCAAACAGTCTATGCACATAATAAAAAATAAAAAAAAAATTTTTAAATGACAAAAGAACAGAAGCTGAACCTCCACTATGTGCCAAGGACTTTGCCCAACATAGGAACGAGCCGTGCAACGTCAGTCCCCTCCACAGAGAATTTGCAAACCAGAGTGAGGTGGAGGGAAGGGGGAGTTCTGAAACTGAGATGTGAGTAAGCAAAATGGATTTAAAAAACAAAGATTTCTTATTGAGACCAGGAGACAGATGACTGCTTTGTGCAGCAGGAAGCAGACTGAAGTACATTTTTGCCTACATTTCAATGTTGATTCTGGTAAACCAAATAGAGGGTCATCACGTTTAGAGTTGGGTGTTACTGGATAACCTTTGGGGAAGAGTGAGGAAAATAAAGAATCCTGGTCTAGGAAAAGATTGAACTTCAGCAAATGGCACACACTGGGACCATCAATATTTATTCTGTATCCTAAGGGCCACACCTCAAATGCCTTCTGTGTTGATGTCACTTCCAAGTTATGAACACATCCTCTTCCTGCTGAAAGATCTCATCACCTCCATCAATGTTATAGCAACTTCCCAATTTTTATCACCCCCCAAACCTCTCATGTCTAATCTTTGAATGTTTCTCATAGCCATCCATTCTGCATAATAACCCAACTCAGAGCCTAAGTACCCTCACTTCAGGGGTGTTTGCTTTTAAATAAAAGCATTTCATCTCTCTTCTCTAATTTGAAGCTCAAGAATTATCACAAACTTGGTGGCTCCACACAACAGGAACCTTTTCTCTTATAGTTCCAAAGGCAGATATCCAAAATCCAGCAGGGCTACCTTGGACTTTAGATATAGTCCACTCTTTGTCTCTTCCAGCCTCTGGTGGCTGCTGGCACACTTCGACTTATGGCTGCGTCATTCTGCTTCCACGGTCACATCACCTGCTCTTCTGCTGTGTCAAATCTCCCTCTGCCTCATTTTTGTAAGGACACTGGTCATGGATTCCAGGCCCATCAAGATAATCCAGGATGGTCTTTTAATGTTGAGACCCTTAATTGTAATTGCAAAGATTCTTTTTCCATATAAGATCACATTGTTAGGTTCCAGAAATTAGGATGGGGATACATCTTTCTTTGGGAGGGGAGGGTCACCCTTCAACTCACTACAAGGCTCCTCCTGTACAATTCTTACCAGTATTTTTGTCACATCATGTCCCTATTCTGAATCATCAACATTTTTCACTTTCTATCACATTAAATCTGAATTCCTCTGCCTGGTATTCTAGGCTTGCCACAAACTGGCCCCACCTTAATTTGGATCCTCACCAATATCCTGCAAATTACTTTACTAAGTGCCAACTCTGTGTAAGACATTGAGCAGAGGCTTTTAGGGATAAAGCATGTGACACAGCTGAGGAGACAAAGGAATACAGGTGAATAACTATAAAATAGCAACACACTTCTCACCAGGCCAGCACTGTACTAGGCTTATCCTGCTACCATGGTTTTGGCTATTATTCATGATGTATTTGGTATTAAATTTGGTGTTTAATTATGCAGTTTCAATCTTTTAATTGTGTCCCCAGAGAAAAATGTTTCTTAAATTTAAGGACTCCTGCTTCTCTTAACTTCCCACCAGAATATCTATAATAGTGCAAAAGTAATGATGTCCATGTCTCTGAATGAGAGACAATAAATCACTAAAACCATTTATAGACACTGAATTCATTGTTTGAATGTGGTAACTGACCCTGTGAGGCAGATCTGAAGAAAATGAATGGTGGAAGAGGAGAACCCCTCTTGTCAGCTTTTAAAACAGAGTAAGTTATGGGGTGAGGGATATACTTAGGCAGCAAAAGCAAGGCATTATGAGTGGTCCCCTCTCTGTGATTCCAACCAGAGCAAAACAGGAAATAAAGAGAAACATGGCTCAGAGAGCTTTTGTGAGTATAACCTACAGAAGCATCTGGATTGTGAAAATAACCATACAAGAAAATGTCACTATTCTTCTTTTCAGCCATCTAAGAGATCTATTTTTAAAGCAAAAAGTCACATGCAAAGGAAGTGTCCTATAGCAGATATTAAAATGTTTATCTTTTTATTGTACAAAATAATGGTTTCATTATGACATTTTCATACATGTATACAATGTACCTCTGCCATATTGAACCCCCATCACCCTCTTTTTTCCCCTCCATCTTCTCACATATCCCCTCCCCCAATCATGCCCTTTCAACATTCATGGTTTTTGTTTGTTTGTTTTAGATCTAGATTCTGCATAATGAGAAAAGACACCTGTTATCTATCTTTCTGAGTTTGGCTTATTTCACTTAACATCTACTTTCCTGCTAGACCAGCTTTGTGGGCCAACTACTCACTGGATCTGCACTTAATCCTTGCTGGGAGTTCCTGGAGATGGGACAACGCAGGGACCTTTGACTATAAAGCTGTAGATTCCATTAGAAGCCTCTCGAAATGGCTTCCCACAATGCATCTTGACTGAATGCTGGGAAGAAGGGAGAACTTCCCCAGGGCCACTATGCTATGAAGCATACCCCTGTCTGGTTAGACTGCAAATCTTCTCTGTTCTGAGACCAGTATAGAGTGTCAATTGTGTTTTCTAAGTCTCGTTCTCTCTCTCTCTCACCTCAGTCTCAGTCCTCTCCCACTCTGTGCTCTGAATGTTGATGTGCTCTTTCCCTCCCCCCATTCATCTCTCCAGGTTCTGTATCTCTGTGTAAGGTTCTGTCTGTCCAATACTGAAACTTTGATGCCTGCCTGCCATCACCCACCTTGCAGGATACCTGCTCTCCTGCTGTTCCAGATCTATCCCCCAGACATGCTAGTGATCAGGTGTGTCATTAGTCTGCCATCATCTTTTTTGCTCTTTTTTTTTTTTTTCGGGAATCCATTTGTTTTTTCTTTTCTTTTTTTTTTTTTTTTTTGGCAATACTGGGATTTGAACCAGGTAGGGCCTTATACTTGCGAGGCAGGTGTTCTACTGCTTGAGACACTCCACCAGCCCAGAATCTTTTTTTTTTAAGTCAAAATTATCTACAGTACTCCAATTTGAAAGATGTGTATATTCATACTCATTATGGACAAGACAAGTCAAATTAGATGAAAATTTAGTTTTATTATTGGCACTTTTATGTAAATATTTTAGTACCATTTCTACATTCTAAAATATTTTAGCAAGGTAGTTACAATTAAAATGAAAAAGTATAAATAAAATTACACACTTTATAGGAAGATCTACTTTAGATTCTCTTATGAATTATGTAATGCAATTAAAAATCATTATCTATCCCCAATTTGATGATGCTTCAATTACCATTTCTTTAATTATTAAATTTTTAAAGACTACGAGCTTGATAAAATTTTTTAATTTATGATAGGAAATGTTAAATGGATCAACTACTTAATCATTAAGTGTTTGCTTTTCAACTTTGATTAAATACCATATTTAAACACAAATATTAAAAAATATGTTCATCTGGTACAGTCACAGTTCACTAGCGCTTTGCTCCCGCCTGAATACTGATCATGGAAAAATAGATGCCTTTCTGTGCCAGCAGCTGTTGGTGGGTGCCATGCTCCTTGACTTTGCCATTCTGAATCACCACGATTAGGTCAGCGTTCTGGATGGTGGACAGGCGGTGAGCAATCACGATGCAGGTGCGGCCTTCTCTGGCTTTGTCCAGAGCTTCCTGGACAACCTGTCCCATAATCCCATAAATTAATTCTGGTAATAATACTGTTCTTGCTTTAATTTCCCCTCCACAACAATTTCTCCACTATGCCCTTTAATGGTGGCGAAACATACAGCTTAGAAACTAAGAAATCTGTCATCCCAGAAGAAAACTGAACCCCACTTTGGATTAGTTCTAAGACAGAAGATATCTATTCTTAAAATTACAGCAGTAAACATAAGACCCATCCAATTACTTTAGAACATATCTGGACAGTACACAGTGACTGACACCTATAGTTCTAGCTACTTGAGAAGTGGAGATTGGGAGGGTATTGGCTATAAGCCAACCAGGGCAAAAAGTTCATGAGACCCTATTTAAACTAATCAAAGCTGGGTGTGATAGTGTATGCCTGTCATCCCAGCTATGCAGGAAGCATAACTAGGAGGATTCCTGGTTAGGCCATTCTAGGCAGAAATGATGAGAGGCTATTTGAAAAATACCTAAAGCAGAAAGGGCCGGGGGCATGGCTCAAGTGGTAGACTGCCTGCCTAGCAAGTGTGAGGACCTGAGTTCAAACCCTAATACTGCCAAAAAAGCTCAAAAACGACAACAAAACCCCCAAAATTTCTGAATATGTCTCACCAAACAATATCCCTAAAAGCAACCCTATAATCCAGCTCCATAGCAAGCTCAGGAAGCCTGAGCACAAGTCAAACTCAGCCTCTGTGAAATTATTTTTAAGACTAAAAACACTTCGTAATCATGTCTTTTTAAGAGCCGAATGCACAACCTTTTCTCAGACACAGATGATTGCCAACAATTATCTTAAATTTCAGCTGGATTTTACCTTTGTCTCAGTGTCTACCTTTTCTCATGGTTGCCTAGGAGACACTACCAGCAGAAGTGGGAAATAAGCCTCCTGCATGCAGCTTCTTAGTTGAACACAAAATGGTACAGAGCTATTTTTTTAAAGCATAAATTCTCTAATAATTATTTCCCTCATATCATCCCAGCACTCTTAAATAACCTAAAAAATGGTCAAAATATCTGGTTAAATTTTGTTCTCTACTATGTCAGAGAAAAGCATTAAATGTAAACCTGTTAAGAACAACTGATCCGAATATGAATGAACCCAACTTAAATCCTTACCTTTTCACTTTCTGTATCCAGGGCTGAGGTAGCTTCATCCAAAAGCAAAATATGAGGCTGCCTAACGAGAGCACGAGCTATGGCAATGCGTTGTTTCTGGCCACCAGAGAGCTGAGTTCCTTTGTCTCCTACTCTGGTGTTGTATTTCTGTGGACGGGGTTGTGTTGTTAGGAAAGTAGTACTTGTAATGAAGTTCAAACTCACAGTTTGCTCACAGAAAAGAGGATCATTTTCTCATGGAAAATTTATAAATATTTAGGATCAGGATCTAGCAATAGGTTTAAATAAACAAACAATACTCTAAATGATACATTTAATCTCTTTTGGAAAAAAGACATGTGGGATATGAAATTATATGCTTTAGTGTAAATAAGTCAGAATGTTAATATATAAGAAAACTGCTACAATGGTACTACCTTCCATCTTCTGGTTTCTTTACATATTTGGGACAAAGATTGGTAGGAGAAAGGAAATTTGATTGGACAATTGTACCCAGTAACTGAAGCTCATCTTGTTCATAACCAGTAGGGGATGCCCTCTGCATGACTTTGAAGTTAGGAAAGAAAAATCCTTGGGAGGTTAGTATTTTGGTGTCTTTTTTTGAAACTATCTCCAACACTTAGCCAATTTTAATGGATGCTAAGGAATTGTACTCTGGTATCTAACTTTGAATACTGAAGTACCCTTTACATGTTTTGAGTTCTTCCAAATTTCTTCCTGCATCACTTCCTGCTATAGAGAGTTGCCACACACATGATGATAAGGACAGGAGTTAAAGGCTTGTATAAGACAGCAGAAGGGGGATGTGGCAGTATATGTAAATATAACAGTACTATCTTACTATTTTTAGGTCCTTGCCAGGCTCTGAAAGTATAGCTGAACTGTGGACTCTGAGTTTTACAGTGCAGTTTGACTATAAAAATCCATGTTATGCAATGGATTGACATTTTTATGTTATATCTTGCAACCCTTGTTCTATAGTGCTCAGAACAACACCCCACCCCCACCCGCATTGTAGCTGGAGTGCGAAACCCCTGGTGAGACTTGGTAGATGTTTTAGCATGGCTCCACCCTGCACTGTGGCTGCCTGGGAAGGATCCCAGGTTAAGGTGAAACAGCACTGATGCTGGTGCAGCAGGTCAGGGCAGTGCTGTGACCCTGTAAGAAGAGGAAAGGCATCAGCTCTGCAGGGTAGGTCAATCCTGGTGCTAATCACTCATGAGAAGCAGTCCTTCAACAATAGGATTTAGGGTGCTGGTCTAGCATATCAGAAGGAAAAGAATCTTGATGTCTGCAAGGGGTGGTGTGAGTGACAGAATTTGGTCAGGAGTCCAGAAATGTAGGGTCCTTGTGGTAGACAGAATATATTTCATATTTAAAAGCCAGATGATCCTTACTCTCTGTGTTGTGTACCCTGCATTGGTATCATCTGAACTATTAAATCACAGACTGCTGCTGGACTTGACCACAAAAGTTTCTTATTCAGCAGAGTTAGGGTGTGGCTTGAAAATCTACATTTCTAGCAAGTTTCCAGGTGGTGCTGAGCCACTGTCAAAGAACCACTGAGTTCTCATTAGTAAAGGGGATCACTTTAAGTCTCAAGAAGAGTCAGGTATCCAGGGTTGGACCAGATTGTTAAAGGAGAGGACACGGGGACAAGGTCTCCTTCCTCCCTGAGGCCTGTGCTTGGGAGTAGCAGTTGTCTGCAAAAGAGTCTAAGGAAAAAGGAGATATTGGCAAGAGATAGGGCCACCTGCTGGTGTCATCCTTCCCCATGCAGTGACTGCATTCCTGACTGGGCTTTATTCTACAGAGTACTTCCTCATAATAAAGAACATAACTAGTGATAAGGGAGGAATAGATTAGCTAGATTAGGTGCATTTCCTTTTCTCTTTCCTTCACCCTTTCTTAAAAGGGCTTAAGAGATGGTGAGAAGTTCCACTAATGTAGCTTCCTAAAGGAATTGAGAGGATGTCCATAGGAAGCAGCCCAGGAAAAACTTAACAATCAACACTGTAAATGGAGCTCAGGGCCCACAAAAGCTGCAATGATTAGTGATTACATAATACCATTCAGCCCAATGGCTCAGTCCTGTTCAGAGGCAGCTCTCTTTCTGGCATTGGTCCAGCTGTCTGTCTGGCCTCACTGTATAGTGAAGCTGGAAGAAGGAAGAGAAACAGAGGAAAGAAGTTGGGAAAGATGGTCATGCCTGCCTCCTTAGAAGGACCAGAAGCATCATGTCCACAGGTGGAGACCCCAACGCCACCTGCTGGCTCTGCTCTTGGACTTGGAGGAAAAGCCTCCCTGTCAGATACTGTACTTATCCCTGGTTGGTGCCTTAAGCCTAGGAGCTAGAGAACTGTTCAAGTTCTCTTCTCTTGGAATGTTTTGCTCTTTTATGCCTGTTTGGGCTTAACATTTTTGTCCCTTCCTCACAAGGACAGTCAAGTGACCAGATAAACATAACATCAGTTTAGGAAGGAAATATGGTTAGGTGCTTTTTATTTTCAGAAGTAGTGTTTGAACTCAGGGCCTTGCACTTGCTAGGCTTGAGCTCTACCACTTGAATCACACCTCCAGCCCTTTTATTTTAGCTATTTTTTTTGAATACCATATTGAACTTTTGGACTGAAGCAGTCTTGAACCCTAATCTTCTTACCTATGGCCTCATGCACAGCTGAGAATGCAGGCATATGTCCTGATGTCCAGCTTGTTTGTTGATATGGGTCTCACTATTTGCTTGGATTGGCCTGGAGCCATGATTCCCCCAATCAGGGGATTACAGGTGTGAACTGGCATGTCCATCCAAGATGCTCCTACACTGGTGAGGTATGTTTTGTTTGCTAATTTCTTTTTACATTTGGGAAGCCAGGCCTTCTGAAATGAAATGATAGGCTTGGGTTGTAGCCCAGTGGTAGAGTACTTGCCTACCAGCTGTAAGGTCAAGGGTTTGATCCCAAAATAAAACCAAAAAAAAAAAAAATCAAAAGACAGGTTTAGGAGGCTGCTAAACACTCACGGCTCAAGAGACTTACGTCAGGCAGTGACTCAATGAAGTTATGTATGTTGGCCTCCCTGGCCGCCCTCACGATCTCATCCTGAGACACAACCCTGCTGTTGTCTCCATAGGCGATATTCTCACCAATGCTGCAGTCAAACAGGATGGGCTCCTGGGACACAATGCCCAGCTGTGCTCGGAGCCACTGGACATTCAGTTCCTTTATTTCTTTGCTATCTACATGCTGGAGATAAAAACTCACAGATCAACTTCAGGACCAGCACACTTCAGATTTAGCAAACTTAACATCATTATTTCATACCATAACACTGCCACATTACTGTGAGATTAAGGGAAAGCTTTTGTTCTTTTACATGGAATTTCTAAGGTTAATCTAACAATGGAGATGTCACTTTTCTTATGCTTTAACCCTAGTTTCTGATAAATGCCTCAGAAGGCAGAACAAGGTCCCTCCTCCTAGAAGTTACCCATTTCCTAATCCCTGGAGATTCTGACTATATCATGCTACAAGTCAAGGAGGCATTAAAGTAGCAGATGGATTTAAGGCTGCTAATCAGCTAACATTAAAATAAGATGATTACCCTGGATTCTGTTAGTGAACCCAAAGTAATCTCAGGGTTCCTTAACTGTGGGAGAGGGAAGCAGGAGAGTATCGAAGCTGGGCAATATAAGAAGACCTGGCTAGCTGTTGCTGGCTTTGAAGATGGAGGAAGGGGCCATGAGATGCTGGAGAAGGAACATAGCATCACTGAAACCTTGATTATAGCCTGGCAAAAGTTCTTTTGGACTTCTAACTTCTATAACTGCATAATGATAAATTTGTGTAGTTTTAAGCCCCTAAATTTATGGTAATCTGTTATAGTAGCCACAGGAAGTTAATATAATGCCTCATTCAATTCAGTATACTTAACAGAGAAAAGTATATGGTATCAGAGTGGAAATAAGTAACAACCATAACCACGCAATCTGATCTGACCTGAGTTTAAAGAATTAGGTGCAGAGGTCAAATGGCATAGAAGTGAGCATAGTGGGGTAGAAGCTGAATCTCTCTGTGGTTGTTGATCTTGGGAAAGAGAATTAATTTCTCTGATTTGCTTTCCCATGAGCTAAATAGGAATGATGATCATTCCTAAGCTCACAGAACTGAGGACTAGATGGGATCACATATGGACCCCATATACGGTTTGTGCTCAAAGGCTGACAGCAATTGGTAAATCTGGGTGCGTGATATGCCAGGAACTACTGACAGACAGTTAAGTAAATGTAACTACACACGACACCTTCAATACTGAAACACAGTTGTAGATGTCCTTGCTTTGAAGAATTTTCTCTCAATCTAGTGAGAGAGCTTGCCTTCTGAAGGATACACCAGTGACTTAACTTCAGTTTTTCTAATAGTGGTGACAAGTGTGTGTTAAGCCACATGTACTCTCTGTATCCTGTTTGTCTGGGGGCTCTGGGAGACAGCTAGCCAGGAGTGGGGTATATCTTTGTTGCAGGAATGCAGCTCCTGTGTGGGAAGCTGGCAAGTGCAGGGACAGGAAGCATGGTCATGACCTGTTGTAGCAAGGTCAGTTGCCATGGAAACTATTCTGAGTATCTATGATCTAGGTTTCCTAACAGTATTAATAGGAAAATAAAGGGTGGAAAGAGCAATAAAACACACACACACACACACACACACACACAAAGATGTGGCCAAGCAGCAGATCTTGTTCATTGGAACACTGCACTTGAGAAAAGAAAATGTGAGGAAAGAGTTTTTAAAAAATATTTATTCCAGGCTTATATCCCTGGTGGAAGGATATAGGTCCTATTGAACTAATATAATCACAGGAAGCCTGAATGATCCTAGTAAGTTTTAATGGATTTTTTTCATCACACCAATATGATAACAGCCTTAGGCCCCTTGCAAGGTACTAGAATTGCAAACTGTTTAAAACCTGGGTTAGCAAAAGAATCCTTGTTTAGAAAACATGTTCAGAGAGTTCAACAGATACTTAGGCTGAGGAATGGTAGTGTTCTGAGGGAAGGCCAAGGAATTCTGGGGAATCTGTAAAAGTGTTCACAAGTTCCAGACCTTTATAAATAAAAGCATAACTGGGAAAGTAAACATTGGCAAAGAAGAATTTAATACTAAACTAAGGGCTGGTGGAGTGGCTCAAGTGGTAGAGTGCCTGCCTAGCAAGCATAAGACCCTGAGTTCAAACCCCAGTACCACCAAGAAAAAAAAAGACTAAATTAATATGGCTGACTATCCACTGGCCGTGGTGGTGCATGCCTGTAATCCCACCAGCTACTCAAGAGGCAGTGACAGGTATTTCTGGAGTTTGAGAAAAGCCCTGGCAAAGTTATGGAGACACCATCTCAAAAACAAGATAAAAACCAAAGAGCTGGAATCATAGCTCAACTGGCAGAGCATTTACCTAGCAAGTTCAGGGCCTTGGGTTAAATCCCCAGTACAGGAACAACAATGACAAAAGGAAGAAGGGAGGGAGGGAGGAAGGAAGGAAGAAAGGAAGCCTATTGTAGATTGTTATATCCAGGTCTTGCTCCTATCAGCACAAGTAATTAGATGTTAAATACATATTATTCTATACATATACTCTCAATATGAATGCTAATAATAAAATATAAAAATCAAGCACATCTCATATATTCTGTTGTTTAATCTTCACCATAACTCTTAAGAGGTAGTAATGATTTTAAAGCCTTGTTTACAGACAAGGAAATGAGCAAAGTTAAATAACTTCAAAGAAGTCATACAGTAATCAAGGGAACTAGGCTTGGATCTAAACACTGCAGGTTGGATTTGGAAACAAAAGTGTCTCCTAATTAAAAGATATCTTCTGTCCTTCCTGTCATTCTGGCCCAAGCACCTGCTAAGTTTTAATGAGACAATGACAAGGGGCTCCTAAAGGGGATGGAGGGCTCTGACTGTGGTGCATGGGATGGACAAGAGAGGCAAGAATGGCAAGGTAAGGAGAAGTCAAGTTAACACAGGTTAAACTCAAGGAACCTCAACTGCATGGAAAATCTGGTACTTGAAAAGCATTCTGGGTAGAAGGCAGGCCAGGTTGAAGTCAGTAAACTATTCCTTGTAAGCATTTATAGTAAATTGCCTAAAAAACAACAGGACGAAGATCTATAAGGTGCTAGTGTTCAGATCTTGTGCCTTTTTTTTTTCATTTAAAGTAAATAGTGGGCTGGGGGCATGGTTCAAATGGAAGAATGACTGCCAGCAAGTACATGGTTCTGTGTTCATTTCTAGTAGCCCCAAAAATTAAAGTCATTTTTTTGTGCCGATGTTTTATTTTCTTTAAATAGAATCCCTGAAATTGTAAAATCTTTAGGTCCAATAAACTTGGATCCTCTCCCATTCAGAATTCCACATCTTAGCACTTGAAGATTCTCCATAATTTAACCTAATCTTTCCTTCATACTTATCAGTTCATGATTCCCAAACTATGGTGGCATCAGAATCACCAAGGGAAATTGTAAACATAAAAGACCAGGCTCCAGCCTGCTTGAATGACCCAGGATGGCTGTGTTATTGAATAGCTCTCTAGACCATTATAGCACACACTAAGGTTTGAGAATGACCACTCCAAGTAAAGGTTTCTGAGGATGATTCCAAGTCCTCTAATGATGGTAAGTCATCCTCTGGGTTAAGTACTTTTTTCAATTCTTACAATCAAATATTGCTCAAATCCACTGACTCAATCTTAGATGGCAGTAATTTCTAATTGGTAGTAACCTACTAACTGAATTATTAAGGGTTACTAATGGATACTTATAAATACAACTTGGCAAATTTGCTTGAATTTATTGCCAACACTTCTGTTAGGAAGTCTGGCAGCAGTGCACTTACCGGTAGTCTTTTAAAGCTCTTATGCAAATGCACAGAAGCAGATAATGGATATTCCTATGCTAAGTGACGACATTTGGTTTTTAGTGTATAATCGCAAAGTTGTATTGAGATGGTTACTGTTCTATTCATTTCATATTTTCCTGTCTTCTCTCCCAGATATCAAAGGATTAAAAACTCTTTCCCAGACTCCCTTGGTTCTGGAAGGGAGTTATGATCTATGAGTGAGATGCTCTTGTAAATTCTGGGAGACAGATGCCAATTCTCCCTTAGCAGCAATGGTAAACTAACATGTGTTACAGTAGATGGGAATTTTGCATGACCAGACCCTGGTCTTGTGTCTCTAGGTTTGGAACAAGAATGACAAGGGCATAATGTCTGCAACTTCCGGTCATAGGAGCACAGCTGCAGACCTGTGATTTGGAAAGCCTGGGAGCAACCTTCTTTACTTCCATTCTTCCAGCCCTTCCAAGAGTGAAAACCTAATTCCCTTTATTAAATATCCATCTATGCAAAATAGATACAGTGATTTCTGTTTCCTACACTGAAATTAAGTGATACTATCCATGCTTTCTCAGGACTCTGTGCAGCTAGGTAGATGCTCTATCACTTGAGCCATGCCTCCTGCCCTTTTTGCTCTGGTTGATTTAGAAATAGGTCTCACTTTTTTGCCCAGGCTGGCCTGGACAGCAGAAATCCTCATATTTATACTTTCCCCAGGTGCACACCACCATGCCCAGTTTTTATTGGTGGTGATGGGTATCTTGCAAACTTTTTGCCTGGGCTAGCCTCAAATCACAATCCTCCTCATCTCAGTCTCCAAAGGATTATAGGTACGAGCCACCAGCACCCAACTTGAGAAGCACTACTATTTCTAAATTCCCCATTTCAGTCAAACTGGCCTCTTTGCTACCCTGTGATCAAATCACTTATCGACCACAGCCCATATTGCCTCCTGCACTGAATGCCATCTCAAATGCTTGCCCATGCGCCAATCCTCCTCAACCCTTAAGCCATAGACCTCATTTCTTTAATCTAATGCATTTTGGAAGTAAAGGCTCCATCTCCTCAGTTAAATTCTTGAGGGAAGACTCCATGCCCTACAACTCTTTACAGCACAGTATTTAACACACTGCTTAATAAGAGTGGGTTAAAGACCTTCAATGGAATCTAACAGCTGATATTTTCTCCTCTATTGCTTACAGGGTCAGGGATGACTTCCTCTAGTGGCTATGAGCATAAAATCAGAGTTTGCAGAAAACATAAAACAAGGCTGCTAAAATAAGGAATAAAATTTTTTGTCACCATTAAAGAACAGACTAATGTAAAGTCTATAAAAAACTTTCTTTGAATACAGTAAAAATTTTCCTAGGGCTGAAATATAGTTCAGTGGTAAAGCACTTGCCTAGCATGTACAAGACATTGGTATAATTCATAGCATAGAGAAGAAAATACTGATCAGGAAGTAAAAAAGAGCCTGGACAGCAGGTTGAAAATCTATTTCATTTTGGTCATTAGTGCAACTAGTGTGGGCATGAGTGCCCACAGCCCTGGAATTGTTAAATATTTTGAATATCACCTCTAAGTATAACCAATAACTAAATACCTACATAATGGGATAGTCTATACTAAATTCCATTCATTCCAGTTTGGCTTTTCCTTTCCTCCACCACAGTCATTTCAATTCACCACTCCTTTCAAGACTCCTGACTCATGCCTAGCACTTAAGACAGTCCCTCCCTAACAGCACTTGAAGTTTTGCTAATGGATAATTCTCACCCTTTTAGTTCAGAAAACAAAAGGGCATTCATCCATCATCTATTTCCCCAAATGTGCCCATCTCTTTTTTTGTTTTTGCCTTAGAAGATGATTCAATGCGCATTCCATCAGTGGCACTATCTTATCCTCAGCCAAAAAGTGCCCTAGATCTTTCTTCCTACACAGGTTCCCTGGATTCTGTCTCCTCATTCCAACTGCTGTCTTACTTTCCCCTTTGACCTTCTTTACACCCACTTAAATCTCCATGTCCCCTCCTTCAGGCAAGTGATTTTCTACTGTCAAACCATCACTGAGAGTAGAAAATGTGAGAAGCAGTCCATGTGTTGCTAGAACCTATCAGTCCTCATCTTATACACCATATCTCCATAGCAGAAGTCCTTGCTGACTATCTTTTTTTTTTTGCAGGACTGTGGTTTGTTCTTAGGGCCTTGCACTTGCTAGGCAAGCACAATAGCACTGAATCATACCCCAGCTCTTTTTGTTTTAGCTTATTTTCAGATAGGGTCTTATGCTTTTTGACCAAGGATAACCTTAGACTGTGATCCTCCTACATCTGCCTCCTAAGAAGTTGGGTTTATAGGCATGTGTCACCAAGCCCACCTTTTTTTTTTTTTGAGATAGAGTTTCACTAAAGTTTTTCTGGGCTGGTCTTGAATGGTAACCCTCCTATTCCCACCTCCCGAACAGCTGGAATTACAGACATATGCCATCATGTCCAGTACATCTTCTCTTTCTTGAAACACTCCTAAAACTCCTAATCTTTCTTTGTGGCTACTTAATTTTTGCTGGTTCTTCTCATATTTAACCACAGCAAGGGAGATGAGGATAGAGGGGCTTTGTTGAGAAGAGGCTGGAGAAGATGGCTGGGGCAATTGACACAGCTTGGTCACCAAACATAGGCAGCCAAGACATTATCTAAAAGGGGCTATTATTGCTTAGAGGTATGAAAAACTGTGGCTTATCCTTGAGAATTAAGCACATCCAGGCATTTACAAGATGAAAAACTTAAAATGATCTGAATATGAAAGTGTGCTCACCACTGTTCCTGCCAATGGGTCATAGAATCGCTCAAGGAGCTGGACCACCGTGCTCTTCCCACAGCCACTGCTGCCCACCAGGGCCAGTGTCTGGCCCTTCTTCACCTGGAGACTCAGTCCCTGAAGCACTGGGATGTCTGGTCGGGTGGGATAGTTGAACATGACTCCACTAAATGTCACATTTCCTTCCAACATATTCTAAAATGAAAATAGAAACACTAAATTTGATTGCTGCAATACTGAAAGCACAGGGTAGGACTAGCCCTTCCTACTACCAGATATCAGAAGGGAGTGAACTCCCATTATATGTGAGCTTCATTTCAAGCTCCTGGAATTTAATAAGTCAGATCTAGAAGAGTTAATGGTTTTATAGCATGGATTGTTAATACAATACAAATGTACCATATAAATGTGTTAAATCAGTTCCCCTAGATAGAGTTACCTACAATAAGAAAGCCTGAGTAAAAGAATTTACAGTATTCTTATCTCCTGTAACTTTGTTATATAAAGTACTGGATGTTAAGATATTATTATCAGCATTTATTAAAATAAAACTGTGACCTAGATCTTATCAGCATATAAAAAAGCACAAATTTTATTAAATTTCCTTGAATACTTTCACTGAGGAGTTAGGAGCAGATCACATACCCAAAACATCAAACTCACCGGTGTCAGTCCTTCTGTGCTGTAGCTGTCAATCTCAGGGATTTTTTCAATGAGGCTGATGACATGGGATGCTGACACTTTGGCTTTGGCATAGTCAGGAGCAAATGAACTGGCCTGCCCAACTGCCATGGCACCAAAAACAATAGCTGAAAATACCCTGGAGGACAAAAGTCAAAACATGTGCACAGAACTGTGGCTGTAATGGTAGCAAGCTGACACTTCTACACCCAGCATTGAGCATTGTCTCAGGTAGTTATAAAGCAGACGTTAAAAAACAGAAAAAATAAACACATGCTTATAACATGTCATGATTGTAGCAAACAAGCCACCCCTTTTTAAACACTTGTCTGTATTTTCACCTTCTTACAACATGGTCTTTTCTGTATTTATTTTTGTCAGCAATGACTGTTTATTAACTGACCAGATTACAAAAATACCATGGTAGACACCTTCGTTCATCCTTCTAATAAGCCTATTGATCTGGTCTTCCCCATTGCCACCTTCTACAAAATGAGTAGTCTTTTTCTTCACACCACCTCATGGAGAAGATAATTTGAAGGGCCACAGGAAGTTATTTGCTTCCTTGAAGTATTTTACAACAGTATAGATCTCATGAATCAGATCCTCCATGGAGATGATGACAAATTTACCAACAGATGGAGCAATCTGAGTTATCTGTCAAGGCAATTCTCTTCTTACTGATTTTGTCTTCACCATGCTTGTAAATAGTTCATTTACTGACTCCAGGTTCAGGTACCTGAAAAACAGGCATAAATGATCAGATAAGAATGATCACTGTTAAAACAGCTAAGCATCTTGCTATGTAATCAATTTAATAAATAGAAATCAAAGGAAAGAAGACTTACCCCAATGCAATATATGGTTCCATGATCCTCAGCATGTTAATTGAAGCCTTGTTGAGCTTAACAAAGGTACCATTGAAGTTCTGGCCAAGGCAAAGAAGCTGTAGCACCTTGCAAATCTTTGGGTTCACACCTTTGGTACCCCTGATTCTGATGACAAACATCAATTTCAGTTCTGCAGGTACGTAGAAGTTGCCAGTTTTTCTTGCCTTCCTAGCCACGCAAACCTCAGTTCTGTACATCTGCTTATATTCCTTGTGGTAGTGCTTGGCTTTTTCATAGATTAGCTTCCTCTTTGCCTTTTGAAGCATCTTCCGAGCACACTTCTTTCTTAGGCACTTTACCTTCAGCTCTTTGAAGTTCCTTCACTTTTTCTTAAGTGTTTCTGCACAGCAAGAATCTTCCTAAGGATTTTGGGTATAGCAGTACCTTCTTTTTCTTCTCCTTGGCATCCTCTATGGTTCCAGCCAGAAAATACACTCTGTACTTTTGGGGTTTTTTTTTTGGTTTTAAAGTGGATTTTGTTTTCCTGCTTTTTGAATTTCAGGTGGCCTTGTGACATGGTCTGGCCCACAGGGTATGTTGGACATCAGCAGTTCCATGTTTCTTTCTTTAATTAGCTTGTAGCTAACTGCAGACACATGAATGATCCCAGCTGAAATGCACTATAACCGCTCCGATCAGGAGAAGTGACCTACAGGCTTTGGGCAAAATAAATGTTTATTGCTATTGCCAGGTGATGGTGGCTTACACCTAAAATCCTAGCTACTTGGGAGGCTGAGTTCAGGAGGATCACTGTTCAAGGCCAAGCCTAGGCAAATAATTCATAAGACCTCATCTTCAAAATAACCAGAGCAAAATGGACCAGAGGTATAGCTCAAGTGGTAGAGAACTCCTTGAGATCAAACCCCAGTCCCACTGAAATTTTTTTTCATTATTCTATGTTACTAAGGTTTAATGATTGGTTGTTATACAGCATTATTGTGTAGAATCAACAATGAATATAGTCAGGTATGTTGGTAGAATGATATCAGATTCTTAGAAAACTTGTCATACAATCTGGCAAGGTGGTACATTCCTATAATCTCAGCATTTCAGAGACTGAGGTGGGAGGAAGGAAAACCTGTGAACCATGCTATAAAGAGAGAGTTCACCAAGTACCTGCTCTCAAGATTCCTTTGCATCTTAATCTATGGCATGGGAATCACAGCCAGTAGAGCTTAAAAAAAGACCTGACATCAAATCCAGCTCTCAATCTTTGTGCCTAGAACTTCCTCTAGACAGGTCTCCATCTTCTGTTTTAGGAAGCAACATGTTTAAGTCCATTGTTTAAAAAGTTCTTTTTTGACTGAAGAAAAACCCACTTCCTTTTCCCTAAAATAGACCTTCTATATTGCAACATTGTCAAAAATGTTCTTTGCTTATTTGGTAACTCCTTTCTCTGCCTTTATCAGGACATAGTTATCAATGTGTCTTTTTAAACAGTAGGCCTAAAACTGACTACACCTGTGAGAATACTCAGATCCACCCATTTCTTCCTCCCAACCCACACCTGTGTTTAGCAGCACACTGTACCAGTTGTTTTCTTTTATTTTACAAAACTAGCTCTAAATAAATCACGCTCATAGTTAATGTTGGTCTTTGTAATTATTTAAACCTGTGGGATCTTTTCCAACTCGATTTCCTTTACTTACTGGAAGATTTATTTTACAAATCTAAGGCCAAATTGTCAGCAATTTTCATCAGTTCAAAGACTTGCAGTAATCTATATATCAAACAATTTTCCAAGCAAGCCCCCAATATCAATGATATAATGTGCCATAATCACAAATAGTACTTGCATATCATTTTTCAGACATACATATTAGAAAGTAGAAATTTGAAATCTTCTGTTAGGGTCATCCTGAACTAACTATAATGCATGAAGGCAATGCCTAATCAGGACAGAAATACTATATTACATATAGTGTCAGGCTTATATGATTCTGGTTTCGATGTAAATCTGTATTAGTACTAATTATGTTATGCTATCAAAGGGCAGAGTTGTATCTGTCACCAAATTAGGAAGCACATAAGATCACATTCACCTTTGACAACCAAACTGCATATTTGGGTACGTTGTAGTATAATTTAGGTTAGACTTATCTTCCCCTGACTGAGGGACCACTTTCTATATTCACAGCAAAAAGTTCCAATCTAGTTTTTCCTTTGTTATTTTTTAATTTCTCTAACCTCTTAACTTGCCAATGTTTTTTGTTTTTTTTAAATCAAGGAAAAGCAAATTTTTCCTAGAGTCTCCCAGGATTTGTACAAGTTAGCATACCACTACCATACTTTAGCAGGGCCCTGTGGGAAATCTCTTTATAAGAAGTTCTTCCAAAACTCCAAGGCCTGTGGAGATCTGTGAATTGAATCACTATACACAGTAACAGGTTCAGAAAGATCAGAAATATACATAAGCACAGGGAAGAAGAGAAGTTACGGATAAAAGAGGGTGATTGAAGGATAACACATGAAGACACAGAGGCAAAATGCCACCACCTTAATCATGGAATGTCTTCAAGAGATTCTGGCTAGGGTTTTCTAGCCAGATAGTCAGTATGATCATTCCAGGTTAATTTCAGAGTTAAACTGTAAATATTAACCCAATACTTACAACAGAACACTTTCAAAATCCATCAACTCACGAGCCACCAAGAAGGCACCAAGCCGGAAACAAGCAGCAGAGGAAAAGAACATCATTGCCTGGGTGAAGGAAAATGCTATTCCAAAGACTTGTGCTTTCCTCAAGGAATTTCTGGAAAGAAGATATTTGAAAGTTTATTCCACTTTAATTTCTCAGTCCTTAAAATATAACCTGGTAAGTTAGCACAGGAATGACAGACAAAAATGGATTTCATGTCTAAAGAATTAAGTTTGATCCTCATTAAAGTTACCAGTTGTGTGAGTTTAGGAAACGGCCTCATTTCTCAGCCTGGTGTCTTCATCTGTAATTCAGGATTCTACACACCTCAGTGTGTTGTTGCAAAGATAAACTAAGGCTATGAAAGCTCCTTCCTTTTCTTGCAACTATTGAACATAGACACATGTGTCCTCTGTAGGAAACATTCACTCCACACACATTTACCCAACACCTTTAAGCTACAAGAACCATCTGAGTAATACAGGGAAAAGGGTATATCCTTGTGCTTGGGGACCTTGGGATTTAGTTGGATCATTATTTCTGAAAAACATGCTATGGGAAAAGAGAAGCACCACTTAACTCCTTGGGGGAGTGAGAGAAGGTTATACCAAGGATTAACATTCTAGGGCTTTCTGAGCAATATTGAGCTTGAACCATAACTATTTTGCTTCTATCTTTCTCCTATATCAGGATTCTAAATAAAAACTACCTTCTGACCAATGTAATCCTTCTGAAAACAAATTGATGACTGAAAAGCTCCTCCTACTTCCTCTCTCAGTTTTCAAGGGTTCTTACCTGTATGGTATCTGCAAACTCTGTGCATACATGTGTTCAAACTTCTGCTCCCGCGTCAAAGAAACCACAGTTCGGAAGTTTTCTATTGCTTCAGTAGCAATCTGTAACAGAGACCATCCATCACCAAGAGGCACAAGGGCTAACAATAATGTGAATTCTATAAAATAGATTAAGAAAATTAGCTTATGATTACGTATTACTTATTTAGCATTTAGTATTACCTGTGAGGATCTTCTCTATGGAAAGAATATTAAGCAATTTATCAAAGTCAATTTTTGATCTGGAAGAGAGGTCAACTGCTTCATCCATCCCTTCTTTATAGAAAAAGAAGCTAAGGCATTTGTCTAAAGCCACATAGCCTTACATAACTTCCCAAAATTAACCAGGAACTTGGATAATCCTATATTATTTTCAGTGTTTGCTCTTCTACAAAATTCACTTTTTAAGTTTATTGTAATTTTAAATATTTTGTCACACAACACAGCATACCAAGGGAACAAGGGACAGAAACACTGAGAAAGCCCCTGTCAAAAATGCCATCACCTGGATTTGAAGTCAAAGGAAAAACTACAGAACTTTCAGTGAACTGATTTTTTTCCTTTCCCCCCCTTTTTAATTTAGAATTTTTATTTTTATTACTATTATTTTCTTATCTTTATTTTTACTTTCTTTCTTTTCTCTCATTTTTTTGGTACTATAATCCATTGTACCTATCTCCTTCTTCCTCTTTGTCCAAATACAAATCTGCTTAGCTCTCTCTTGCCCTACTTTCCTTTCTCTCCCCCAGCTTCTTTTCTGACCTTTCTCCTCTCTCCTCCTTTCTCCATCTTCCCCTCCTTGCCTCCCCCTACCTTTCACTCCACTACCCCTACTTCCTCCACACTCACCATTCACTGAATAGTCTACTATATCAAATTTACACATTACCCCCATCCTTCCTATCCCTCTGCAATCCCTGACAAAAGCACACTCCCCCACAATAACAGAACTACACCTTAACACATATTAGGGACTTATTACTCCACAGCCCCTATACCTCACATCCCTTGCCCCCTTGCCCCATTCCCCCTTTCTGCCCTCCTCCTCTAGCAGCATCTTTTTAATTACTTAAGTATCTATCTCTATCCAAACAACTGTTATCACCCCAATACTCACTGTTTATAGATAATATTACTAAGGGATTTTCCAGGTATTATGTAAATAACTGGTCTGGCATTGAATCTGTGAATTTGTTATTACTAAATTATACCTCTAGGTCAGGGAAAGAAACAGAACAACAACCTAGCTAATGACTAAGCCAGACACAGCATAATAATTAAGTCAATGGAAAGATAACAGGTAATTAAAACCCTCAACTAGCTAATCAACAACACAGGTGCAAAGCTCAAAATAGAAACATGGGGAGAACAAGGCAGGAGAATGCAACCCCTCAAAGACTAACAATAATTCAATAGAGGGATTGCTGAAAGTGAAGGAAAGGAATTTCCAGTTGCTGACCCCAGTAGAATGATAAGAATGTCCAATGAATTTAAAGAGAAGCTTAATGAGGTGCTGAAAAAGGAGCTCACAGAGGAACTTAAAGAGGAGCTTAAAGAGAACATACAAAAACAACTCAAAGAATATCAAGAGAACATAGATTTAAAAAAAAAACTCAAGAAGACACAGAAACAACTAAATGTACTCAGAGAGGACTTCAACAAACTCTAAAATGTTACTAAGGAGATTATTTTTAAAAAAGAGAGAGATGAAATAAAGAAGACATCACAAGATATGAAAGAGGAGTTTAACAAAGATATGGAAAATCTCAAAAAAAAAGAAATCCTGGAAATAAAAAGATCCTTAAAGCAAATAAAAATATTGAAAGCCACACCAGCAAACTAGAACAAGTAGAAGACAGAATTTTAGGGCTTGAAGACAAAATAAATATTAAAGAAAAAACAGAAGAATTCTTAGACAAAAGATTCAAAAGTTGTGAAAGGAATACATAAGAATTCTGCAATTCCATCAAAAACCTGTAAATCATGTGCATTGAAGAAGGAGAAGAGGTGAAGGAGAAGAGGTGCAAGCCAAAGGTGTATGTAATACATTCAAAAAATAATAGTAGACTATTTCCCAAATCTCAAGAAAGAGATATCCATTCAAGTACAGGAAGCCTCCAGAACACCAAACAGACATGTCCAAAATAGAACTTCTCCATGGCATATTATACTTAAAACAACTAGCACAGAGAACAAGGAAAGAATATTGAAGGCTGTAAGAGAGAAAAATCAAATAACATTTAAAGGTAAACCCATCAAAATAACAGCAGATATTTCAACAGAAACCTTAAAAGCAAGAGGGTCATGGAGTGAGGTATTTCAAGCACTAAAAGAAAACAATTTCAGTCCTAGGATACTCTACCCAGCAAAGTTATCATTCAAAACTTATGGGGGAATAAAAATCTTCCATGATAAACAGAAACTAAAACAGTATTTGACCACCAAACCTCCACTACAGAAGATTCTGAAAGGAAACCTATACATAGAAGATGAAAACAAATGTAACCATGAAAGAATGGGAAATATTAAACCTCATGAGAAGAACAGACAAGTAATCAGAGTGTAGCATAGCATTAGCTACACATACATAAACTCTTAAACAACAAAAACAACTAAATGACAATAATAATCACATAGCTCTCAATATTAACATTGAATGTTAATGGACTCAACTTCCTCATCAAAAGACACTGATTGGCAAACTGGATTGAAAAGGAAGACTTGACAATATGTTGTTTACTTGAAATTCACCTCATTGATAGAAACACTGTCTTACAGTGAAATGGTTGAAGAAGATTTACCAAGCTAATAGCTCCCCAGAACAGGCAGGAGTGACAATACTTATAAGATAAAGTGGACTTTCAAATCTAAATTAGTCAGAAGAGATAAAGTCACTTCATACTAATAAAAGGAGCAATATGTCAAAAGGAAGTAATAATTATTAACTCATATGCACCCAATGTTGTTGTACCCAACTTCATTAAACATACACTAATGGATTTAAAATCATAGATAGACCCCAACACAATGGTGCTGGGAGACTTTAATACTACTCTATGATCAATAAATAGGTCATCCAGAAAAAAAAAATCAACAGAGAAATTCTAGAATTGAATGACACCATAAATCAAATGGACCTGACAGACATCTACAGAATATCCAATTCTGCAACAGCACAATATACATTCTTCTCAGCAGCCCACAGAACTTTCCCCAAAATAGATCATATTTTAGGTCACAAAGCCAATCTCAACAAATATAAGAAAATTGAAATAACCCCCTGCCTACCGTCTAACCACAATGCAGTGAAGCTAGAACTCAACAACAGAAGAGGCAGAAGATAATATGCAAAAAACTGGAGGCTGAACAAAACATTGCTCAGTGATCAGTGGGTCATAGAAGAAATAAGAGAGAGGAAATCAAAAAGTTCTTGAAATTTAATAAAAATGAAAACACATCCTGTCAGAACCCATGGGACACAGCAAAAGCAGTCCTCAGAGGAAAGTTTATAGCCATGAATGCATTTATTAAAAACACAGAAAGATCTCAAATAAATGTGCATCTCAAACTCCTAGGAAAAACAAGAATAAGCTAAACCCTAAACAAGCAAAAAGAGAGAAATAATAAAAATAAGGGCTGAGATCAATGAAATAGAAACCAAAAAACCCATACAAAGAATTGATGAAACAAAAAGCTGGTTCTTTGAAAAAAAAAATAAGATTGATAAAGTCCTGGTAAATCTGAGTAAAATGAGGAGAGAAAAGAGCCAAAGTAATAAAATTAGAAATAAAAAAAGACAGATAATAACAAACACCACAGAAATCCAGGGAATCATAAGAGATTACTTTGAAAACTCACATTCAAATAAATTGGAAAGTCTATAAGAAATGGGAAAATTTCTAGATATATATGACCATCCTGAATTGAACCAAGAGGATACTCATCACCTAAACAGTTCTATAATACACAATGAAACTGAAGCAGCAATAAAGTTTTCCAAAAAATATCTGACAGGCTGAATTCTACCAGTCCTTCAAAGAACTAATACCAATACTCCTTAAATTTTTCCACAAAATAGAAAGGGAAGGAACACTGCCAAACTCATTCAATGAAACCATTATTACACTTATTCCAAAACTGGAAAAGGACACAACAAAAAAGGAGAATTACAGGCCAATCTCTTTAATAAACATAGATACACACATTCTCATTAAAATAATGGCAAACCAAATTCAACAGGATATCAAAAAGATCATACATCATGACCAAGTCAGCTTCATTCTAGGGATGCAGGGATGGTTCAACACACACAAATCATTAAATGTAATACAGAACATTAACAGAAGCAAAGACAAAAAACACTTGATAATTTCAATAGATGCAGAGAAAGCCTTCGATAAAATTCATCATTCTTTCATGATAAAAGCTCTTATGAAACTAGGAATAGAAGGAATGTACCTCGGAATAAAAAAGGCTACACGACAAGCCTATAGCCAACAGCATACTAAATGGGGAAAAACTGAAACCATTCCTCTAAAGTCAGGAATGAGACAAGTGTGTCTACTCTCTCCACTCCTATTCAGCATAGCCTTGGAATTCCTACCCAGAGCAAGAAGACAGGAAGAAGAAATTAAAGGAATGCAAATAGGAAATAAAGAAGTCAAATTATCCTAATTTCCAAATGACATGATCTTATACCTGAAAGACCCAAAAAACTCCTAGATACCATAAACAGCTTCCACAAAATCACTTTACAAAAATCAGTAGCCTTTCTATACATCAACAATGAACAGACTGAGAAAGAATATAGGAAAACAGTTCCACTTACATTAGCCTCAAAAAATATCAAATACCTAGGAATAAACTTAACAAAGGATGTGAATGACCTCTACAAGGAAAACAATAAAACACTGAAGAAAGAAACTGAAGATGACTACAAAAGATGGAATGATCTCCAATGCTCATGGATTGGTAGAATCAACATAGTGAAAATAGCTGTACAACCAATAGCAATCCACATATGTTCAACTCAATTCCCATCAAAATTTCAATGTCATTCATTGCAGAGATTGAAAAATTAACCCTGAAGTTCATTTGGAAGCATAAAAGACCATGAATAACCAAGGTAATACTGAGCAAAAAGAGCAACTCTAGAGGTATCATAATATCCAAATTCAAGCTATACTACAGAGTTATAGCAATAAAAACAGCAAAAAAAGATAAGAAGACCAGCCGACCAGAATAGAAGACCTAGATATGAATCCATGCAGCTATACCCACCTAATTTTTTACAAAGGCATCAAAAACTACGAGGGAGAACAGGCCCTTCAACAAATGTTGCTGAGAAAACCGGGTATCTGCCTGCAGAAAACAAACTATATCCATGCCTTTCACTCTGAACAAGTATCTTCTCAAAGTGGACTAAGGACCTTAATATAAGCCCTGAAACTTTGTAACTAGTACTGAAAAGAGCAGGGAATATACTGGAAGCAACAGGCATAGGCATGACTTCCTCAATAGAACTCAAATAGCTCAGCAACTTAGAGAAAGGACTGACAAACAGGAATACATGAAATTAAAAAGCTTCTGCACAACAAAAGAAATGGCCTCTAAATTGAAGAGGCTTCCCACAGAACTGGAGAAAATCTTTGCCAGCTACATATCAGACAAAGGAATGATAACCAGAATATACAGAGAGCTCAAAAAGCTAAATTCCCCCAAAATCAATGCCCCAATGAAGAAATGCACAAATGAACTGACCAGAGGTTTTTCAAAGGAAGAAGTCCAAATGGCTAAAAAAAAAAAAAGGCATAAAAATGTACCTAGCCATAAGGGAAATGCAAATCAAAACCATGTTAAGATTCCACCTCTCTCTTGTTAGAATGGCTACCATCAAGAACAAAAACAACAAATGTTGGTGAGGATGTGGGAGAGAAAGGACTCTCATACACTGCTGGTGGGAATGTAAATTAGTACAACCACTGTGGAAAACAGTATGGAGGCTCCTCAAAAAAATGCTAATATAACTGCCATATGATCCAGCAATACCACTTCTAGGGATAAACCAGAAAGAATATGAGTCACGTTACAACAAAGGCTCCTCTATACCCATGTTTGCTGCAGCATTATTCACAATAGCTAAGCTATGGAAACAGCCAAGATGCCCCATTACTAATGAATGGATTAAGAAAATGTGGTATTTGTATACAATGGAATTTTAGCCATAAAGAAGAATGAAATTTTGTCATTTGCAGGTAAATGGATTGAACTGGACAACATCATCTTAAGTGAAGTTATCCAGGTTCAGAAGGCCAAAGGCTCATGCTTTCTCTCACATGTGGAGTATAGACCTAACAAAAATACAGCAATATTATAAAAAAGAGGTCACACCAAGAGGAGGTCACAAGGAAGGGGGGAAGGTAAAAGAAGGAAGTTAAGAAAATGAATATGGTTGAAGTACTCTCTATACAAGAATGAGTACAGAATTTTTAAACCTGTTGAAACCACCATAAAAATGGACTATGGCAGAATGAAGAAAAATAGAGGAGATAATCAACTGGGGTTATAATACATATACATGGAAATGTATACATGGAATATATATACATGGAAATGTCACAAGGAAACTCCCTGTGTAGCTATCTTTATTTTAAACAAGCAAAATGTTATTTTTTTCTCTTTTTCCTTTCTTCTTTTTTCTTCTACAAAATCAGAGAACAGAGGGCAGAACAGGTCCTGGGGCAAAGCCCTGAGTTCAACCTCCAGTACTGGCAAAAAAAATCAAAAAACAATTAGGATAGGAATGTGGCTCATGTGGTAGAGCATTTGCCTTGCCTAGGGGGGCTTAGATTTAACCCCCAGCAGTGTAAAAGAAAAGAAAGAAATTCTAAACTTCTTTTACATCTTTCAAAAATAATGTATACCCATTTTACAAAATCCTAAAAGTACAGAAAGCAAGAACTTTTAGGGAAAAAAATCATCATTAATCAAACTGCCTAAAGACAATCTTTATTCAAACACATTAGAAATAGTTTTAAGTGTAAGGACTGAGGCAAACAAACAGAGGAGATTTTCTGGATTATTAAGAACACTCAATAAACTACAGCAAATAGTTACTGGCAGTTTTATCCTTCTTTAGACATTAGTTTTATCCTTCTTTAGACCCCAGTTTTAGGGGTCATCCCTGTTATGTCCTCTCATTTTTGCAATGATACAGAGGATATCATACTAGATTATGTCCTGCCATCTCAGGAACTCTTTGATTTCTAGTGAATAGAAGCACAACTGTCTGAGTTTGAATCCTGGCTCCAAGACTTATCAGCTTTATGGCACTGAGGACATTGCCTGCCTGTGCCTCAGCATCACCTGAAAAACGGGATAATAGTAGAGACTACATCATAGGGTACCCTTAAGGAGTACAGCATTTGCCAGGAAACCCACTAAATGCTATGTAAGAATTTGTTAAATAATGAGAAAAAAGACACATTGCGGAAAAAATACTACCAAGGGAAGGACAAAGAGCAACAGGATGAAGGGAAGAGGCAGGATAAAAGGGGCAAAATAAATACTCTTAGTACCTTTCCATATTGAATCATCTCCATCCCAGGTAATGAAGTGGTCTTATATTCCTCCATAAAAGAGAGAATTGAAAAATGCTTGAAAGAGAGAAAGGGAGAAAGGGAGGAGGAAAAGGGAGGGAGCGAGGGAGGGACGGAGGGAGGAGGGACGGAAGGGAGGGGGGAGGGAGGGAGAGAGAGAAAGGAAAGAAATGAAGGAAGGACGGGAGCAGAGGGGAAGAGAAGATGAAGAAAACAGCCTGAAACCAGAAACATGTACAGAAAGCATGTCAGTCTTTGAGCCTAAGGACTCAAAGACTTTTTTGTTTGTTTGTTTGCTATCTTTCTTTAGTTTCTAATCTGTTAAATAAGCATAAAAATACTGCCTTGAGGAAGAGTTATAGCACCATTCTCAGAGTATAGCTGGTAATAGGGAATAATAAAACATCATTAATAAGAGTATTTTCCTCAATTTAGATAAGCAGTTACTTTTAGATTAACTTACCTTCCCAGAACCTTCTAGCTCCTGGTTATCTTTCAGGGCTTGTCCAGACAACATTTTCATTTGAATAACTCCTCCTATTGCAATGAAGGGTACAATTGCTAAGAGTAAAAGTGCTAATTGCCAGCCATAAACTAAGGCTATGATAATTCCTGTCCCAAGATTGGCAGCACTTTGGGAAATTACAGAAAGTCTGGAACCCATAGCCTAAAACAAAAAACAAATTTGAGATGAATTTTTGTATTATCTCTAAAACCTATGTTTATATATTCTTATGACAATTTACTTTCATGAAAACTTATTATTTTCTCAGGTATTCAATAAAAGTAAAACTTTACATATAAGAAGGCTATTGAGTTTCTAAAATGCAGAAGTCCATGACTTCTGAATATTAAAAGTAGAAGATTAAAAATCCAGAGTATAGTTACATATTTTTTCTGATTTTTTTCTCTAATCTGAGGAAAATTTAATTCGCCAAAACATGACCACTAAAGCTCTGCAAATTAGCAAGGTAAAAGAGTGATAATTATAATTTAAATATATTAAATTACATTTCTATATGTAGAAAAGGCCAATGTTAGGTACATAACTACTTACAGTGTAAGGCTGATATTTGTTACTAAGAATATTCAAATATGTCGGGGTCTATTTGAAATTTTTATGATGTTTAATTGAACCTGGATTTGATCTGGAAAATATATGTAGAGTTGAAAGGTATGGAACTTAGTTCATATTAAGCAGGCATCAGAATTTTCCCATGGATGCCAGAGGGAGGCTGAAGCATGATTTTCCATAATGTGCAGTGATTTGTCAACTCTAAACCAAAGCCAATCGCTATGATGTATGTAGAGCAGTCCAGCACAGCTCCTCTACCCTGCAAATACTCTGTGCCCTCAAGCCACTTCACACTGCTGCCCTTGCCCTCAGATATGCTCTCTCTACAACTGGCTTAAGACCTCCCCCACACCTATTTTTAGTCCATGCAATTGCAGTTGGTCTTAGGTAAAAATTATGAGGGAAAGTAGTTTAGGATGACCACTGCCATCTCTGTGACTTTGGACAAAACTCTTCCAACTCCCAAAATGAGCAGACACATCAATTAGCCACCAAAGCTTCTCTCCACTATATTCTGATGGAATCCTTTTTAATTCCCCATAACAATTCCCCTAGAAAATATTTAACACCTTTCTGACATAATCATGAGACCAGTACTTAGTGCAGAAAAGGTGCTACAACTACCGATGGCCTTTGTATATATTAAATTTCATACCAGGAAACTGCACAAGGGCTAACAGGGATAACATAAATTTTAAAAGCACATTTATTTTTATTTGATGTGATCATTGATCTTATATTAAAGAAATGCTTTGCTAAACTGGGCACAAGTCAAACAGTGGAGAGGCCTTCAAAGCCAGCTCTCTGTCTTGCACATTTTCCACGTGAAGGTCAAGAGATGCAACTTTGAGATAGTCTGCAAACAGGGTTGATGGAGGTTGCTTCTCTTCTCAGCATTTACAAGTCCTTTTTAGTACTTATTTCCCATAGCAGCTACTGAATCTCCCCCAAGTTCAGGCACACAGTCCAGTTCTGGATGGCAGTCAAAGATCAGAGAAATAAGTAAGAGAGATTAAAGATGACCAATTCTTTAACATACAGGACACATAAACTAAAAGATCTAGGATCTTATGCTATGGGGAGATTAAACCCTTTGGCTTTATTTAATTTAGAGGTATGGTGACACTTCATTGGTTATCGTCCTTTATTCTAAAGGCAAACACTCACATTCCACACCTGTTCCTGATACAGAGTGGGAGTTTACAGAGTTCTGAGGACAAATTATTTGTGCCTGTTTCTTCCCCTCTGGCTACTTACTTCCTCCCCACATCACATTATGGAACTTAGACTAATTTTAAAATATTTGTGCTTATTGGAAAAAAGAATCCATTTCTTGAGCTTCTTTTTAAAATTAGAAATATTCCCCCAACCACCTTCTCCCAGAAAAAAATTTAAATACTTAGTAGCTTTGGATTTCTATGTGGCTTTTGTTTGTTTGTTTGTTTCTCTGCAGAAATCTAGACTACATTTCATTACAAAATTTAAAAGCCCAGCATTTCATAGAAAGGCACTGAAAGATATTTTCTTCTGACACGTTAAGCAGGATCCACCTGTTTCAATAATTTATAAATCCTTCTGTGAAAGTTTCATTACCCAGGAAGTTAAATAAGAAAAAAATTAACTTAGATGAACAAAAATCACCATCTATATTGTACACATAAACTTGAATTAGCCATGCTTAGGGTGACACAGATTTGGATAGTATAGAATGCATCAGATGTTTTTACAATAAAAACTAATTATACTACCTCTTACTGTGAAATAACCACAGATAACACACACACAAATGCACACACAAGTATTATCTACTTCTGTTACAGGTGCAAATGCGCTCATATGCATACACATATACGTGCATGTAGCCCTTGTCATAAGTAGGTAAGCTGGTGGTAGTGAAGAGGAAGACTGTCTTGAAACAGGGCCATAAAACATGGGAAGTTGCTAATTAAAAGCTGTAAAAAAAAAAAGGTTACCTCAAACAGGGCATAAGGCATGAGAAACTGTCAATTAAAGCTTATACAAGAAAGTTCAAAGCCGAGATAAAGAGTACCATGCAGAGATAATCACCCATTCCCGCCTTCCTTTGTCTCCACCTGTAAATAAACTTTCCTAAGCAGGACTTCCCTGCTGTTGTTATCTAAACAACCTTAGGTCTCTAACTCACTACTAGCCCCTAATTAATTACATTCCTTGTAACCTGATGCCCTGCACTACCTTTTAAATACCCTGTGAATCCTTTGTTCATTGTTCAGACATGGTATCCAGCTCAGTCCACTGGCATAAAATAAAATCTGAGCTCTCCAGTCCTCCAAGTGTCGCTTGGTTTCTCGTCTGTCAGTATTTCCACAACAGTATTGAAAAAACACTGACCTCTCCAAGCCAATTTGTGATGACAGTTTCACTGGGCTTTCCTAATTTGATGATGCTCCTCAATGTTTGACTTTGTACCTTCTCTTTGTTTTTAGTCATTGCTTTAAGTTCTGGAAATCAGTTCTGCCTCAGAGTTGCTCACATAAGGTGTGCAGGTGTTCCTGCTTGGGGACCATGAAAATGCCGGTTTGGTATGCCTCTAAGAAACAAGTGAGAAGCAGAATGTTGACACCAGCAGGCAGGGAGAGACCAAGGAATATGGCAAAGGGCACCAATGACGAGGGAATGATTCACCACAAAATTGACCAATACAGGAAACCAGTGCATCCTAAAGGCAGGTCATAACTCCAGAGGACTTTCAGAGGCGGGAAGAAATAGAACAAAGAATGCCCACCCTGCAACTGCTCAGAGTTCTGCTGCAAGGACTGAATTTGCATCCCCTCTACGATTGCATCTTCGTGGCCATGGGACGTGTGATGTGCGATGCTACCAAAGCACAGGAGCACACACAGCAGGATTTCTAGTACAGCTGCACTACAGTTCAGGCAGCAAAGCTGAGCAACAGAATACAGGATTTGGATGCTTTGAGGACTCGATTTGTCCACAGTGATCACCATCCCAAAGAAATGTTTCTCTTGGGAGCTAGCCACAGGGACATACCCTAAAGCTTATTTATAGATTTTTGAGGTAATTTAAATTAAAAATAAATAGAAATATTTTAATGTCTTCCTCCATCTATCACCTGATTGCTCTGCTCCTTTTGACAAAAGTCTTTAAGCCATATATCTAGATGTGTCTCCTTTCTCTCTTCCCCTTTCCCTTCAGACTCCTCTCAAACTTTTGTTCTCACTATATCCCTGAAACAGTTCTTGTGAGCACCATAACAACCTCTACATTGCCACACTGTGTGAATTGTTTAATTGTCTTTCAAGCTTATCACAGTGTTATTTATTTATTTATTTATTTATTTATTTATTTATTTATTTATGCAGTACTGGGGCTTGAAATCAGGACCAATGCATTGAGCCACTCCACCAGCCTTTTTTGCGTTAGGTATTTTCCAGATAGGGTCTTGCGAACTGTTTGTCTGGGTTGGCTTCTAACTGCAATCCTCCTGATCTCTGCCTCCTGAGTAGCTAGGATTACAAGGATGAGCCACTGGCACCCAGCTTATCACAGTATTTCACAGCCTAAGTTGCAGCTTCCTTAAAATGTTTTCTGGGTTTTGTCTCTAGGATGCAGTTCTTCTCCCACCCTGGCCACTCCTCACTGTTCTTTGTTGTCTCATCTTCACATCCCTGACCTCAGGGCTAAAACTTGTTCTCCACACAAGCTTCTTTGGCCACCTTATCCATTCTCATGGCTTTAAAAGCCACCATTATGCTGAAAAATCTCCAGATTCTCTGATGAGCTCCAGGTGTACAAACCATCCTCCTTGTTGACATCTCCACCTGGATTTCAATGTGGGCACCACAACCTTATCATGATCCACACAGAACTCTCAATTCTCCCCTAAGCCTACTTCTCCAACAGACTTCCAATTTCTTTAAAAATTAGCTACACTTCTTCAGCTGTATTGGTGAAACATTTAGTTACCCTTAAATCCCCTTTCTGTCATATCCCTCCTCTAATCCAATCAGCATATTCTATAAGCTGTACCTTTAAAATAGCAGAATTGTTTACACTTCATCACCTTTATCATATCCACTAATCTAAACCATTCTCATCCCTCTGCTGGATAATTATAATATACCCTCTATTTCTATTCTTGCTTCCTTCAGGCTAGTCACACAGCAGCCATAGTGATTCTTTCAATCTTTCAGATCATGTCACCTTTACATTGAAAACTCTACAATGGCTTTCCATCTAATTCCAGATTTAACACTATGGCACCTCTTTCACTAACTTTCATCAAGCCTCAGTATTCTTCTGGTTATTTGATGAATGAATGCTGCAGCCTCAGAGCCTGTGCACTTGCTGATCTTCTAACTTCTAACTAGAACACTTCTGCCCAGGCACTTACAGGGATGGCACCTTTCCTTCCTTCAGACACCCTCTGTATATCACCATATCGTTCCTTTTCCACCAGGCCACCAATAGCCCTATATTCTGCTTCTATTTTTTCCTCATGGCATTTTTGGCAATATTATCTATAATGTAGATTCCATAAGGGCAAAAACATTGTCTATTTTAAGAAGATCAAAGTTATTTCAATGTACATTTTGTTCTGATAAGTTTTATACAACTTCATTTAAATCTTGATTTTTGTTGGTTCATTGTAACTCTCTGTGTATTTCCACATTCATAATCAAATTCACTTTTCCATAAGTCTCATCTATTAGACAGAAAAGAAATCAGTGTAGTACTGCCTTCTGGGAATATTGAAACATCATAAAGACTGACAAGGTTCAAGGAGGGGAGACACACGCAGAGATCACCTTTGTTTCAAAGTACAGATTATAGATTTTTGTCATAAATGCTGCTGTAGAAGAGATTTTCCACTTCATCCAAAAATCTAAACTTAATTTTATGACTCTTTTTATTTAAGGATTCAGGTAAAAACAAAATTTAAGTTTTATATCCAATAAAGTTATTCCTTCTACATATGCTGTAATTTATAATGTGCTTTTCATTTCATTCAACCTATTTTAAAGAATACTTCCTACCTTCCCAAGTAAACTGTAAAGTAATATGCCTAAATTTTCTGATGGCAACTACACATACTGTTTTCTTCAGGAGCAATTACAATTTTCTAATTTAAGGAAGCTGATTCTGAATGATATGCTGACAATACTTTCTTTTCTAAATAATTATTCTTCTAAAGTATCTTGATAGTAGTATGAGTAACATAGCAACAAAAAAGAAAGCTTATACCTTCCTTATACACTATACTTTATATAATCTTTAAAGAGTTAACACTCTCGCTATAAAGTTTCTGCCACATCTGTGGATTAGCTGTGTAGTTACATTTTCTAAAAGATGGTAATGATATGATAATACATCTAGTAAGAAAGTGAATTGCACATGGAGGTTGAAATGGAATGGAGACAAACACCAACAGCAAGCAGGCACGCACCCCTTTCACTTGTGCAGCATCATTGGCGAGCCTGGTAGTCAATGCTCCAGTGGCGTTTTTAGGGTCATCGAACCAGCTCACATCCTGTAGCACAAAAGAGAATTCATTCCCTGCAGGCCTTGTTTATGAGACTCCTAGCTCCAGAGGAGCATTCAGGATAGAAGGATCAATAAATAAGAAAGGGATTTAACACATGATTACTTAGTTAGATAATTACATGACTAGATGATTTCATCTGTCAAAAAGTTTTTTGAGTCTCTACTTCATCCCAAGCTTGATTTATAAATGTTAGCTCAATCCAACAGTGAACAAAAACAACAAAGTTACTGCTATAATAAAGCCTTGGTTCTAGAGATCGAAGGTACAAAAATCCCATAAATATATTTAAATAAACACTATGGAGAAAAACAGAGCAGATATGATGGCAAAAACATGAGGGAAAGTGTTGTTTGAGAACTGGGGAGGAGACAAAAGGCCTCTCTAAGGAGAAGGTTAAATAGAGACCTAAATGAAAGGAGGAATAAAAATGACCTAAGGGAAGAAACAGCACTGCAAAGGCCCTGAAACAAAGGCACACTCCATCTTTTCAAGTCCTACCAAGAAAGTTTTACAGGCTTCCAGAGCCCATTTGTCCCTGAGTGGCTTCCCTGATCCTCTCTTCCCAAACCCTTACACAAGAGATGGGGAGTAGACTGTGTGCTGGACAAGGATGACACTGCAGGAGATGGCATCTAAGATGTAGGGAGGGTTGGTACATCATGTACAGCTTTTAAGCAACTATAAAGATTTCAGAATTTACCAGGAGATGTATAGATAGCCTCAGCAGGCCAGACCTGTGTTTTGACTTATATTTTAGAAGATGACTCTGGCTGCTGAGATAAGGATGGACGCAATGGAATTAGCCAGGAGGCCATTGCAATGTTAAACACAGAGAAAGCAGCATCACAGATTCCCTGAACAACTGATAGAGTGGCACTGTCATTTACTGATATGAGCAAAGATTAGGTAAGGAGTAAACCTGGTGGGGAAAGAGGAGTCAAAAGTTCAAGTGTATAATTTTAAAGTATGAAACATTAATTAGAGATCCACCTAGGAGAATGATCAAGCACTTAAATAGCTAAACTTCAGGGCAAAATAAGTGAACTGAGTTAAAAACCTAGCAACAAAAGCAATCTAGATTAAATATGATTTTCTTGGTATAGTCCCTAATATTTTTAAATACACAAATACAAAGTTATGAAATTGAAGTATAAAATATGCCAATCACAAATAGCTATGATTTCTGCAGGAAGGGGGGTGATAAAGGAAAAAGATGGAGGGGTGAATCTACAATATATTGTAAGCACTTTTGTAAATGTCACAATGTATGCCTGGTACAACTATAATATGCTAATAAATAAATTTTAAAACAAATAAATATGATTCCTAAAAAGTTATTTGAACTGATGATTCACATTAAAGCAATAAAACCATTTTTATCCAAAATATTCAAGTAAGAAGTGAGGTACTATAGTTCATTATAGCCTATATCAATTTGCTTTTTAGTAATTTCAAGTGCTTAAATATTTCCACACTGGAATATAACTTCCATGAAGACTGGGACCATTCAGATTGGAATGCTTAGTACTATTTTTTGTAAGCAAAAGGCCTTAAAAAACTCAAAACTTATGAGTTTGCTGTACCAAAAAATTTATTGAGAGGGTACTACAAAAACCATCCACTCAACTCAGAAAATGTAACCAACATGGGTTTTGGCTTAGAGGCTGATAGGATGATGGACCATTGGCTCTTGACCAAGGTCAGCCTTGAGCCTAAGTGGAATCTCATTTATAAATACAGTTTGACCAGAGAGTCCACAAACAGAATCTCTCACTCATTAGATTCAGTTGTGGCTCTTCCATCACTAACTGGCAATTCCGGTTAGTAGACACCAACTGGATAAGTGGGTACTTTTAAGTCATTGTGGGGAGACTGGAAAAGGACTTCAGGGCCATAGACAAATGGGAAGATGTAGATGTCCTCTAGAAAACATGAAACAGTTTCTCATGCTTCCCAGTTGGGGTTCAAGTCCCCTGGGAACACCTGAGGCAATTTCTAGAGTACCATTTTATTCAAAATGGTAAGTGATTAATGATTTTACAAGGTGATTTTAAATCACTAACAAAATATTCTAATTGTTAAATAAGCTTTCTTCTTTGAACGAGGCTGCTCTGGGTTACATTCCTCAAATCCCCTCTATCCCTTTCTAAAGAAAATATCTTGAGAGGCACTGTTAAGTCCTCATCAGTGTATTAGCACATCAGTGTGGCCCCTGCAAAAAAAACTGGGAAGTGAGGGATGGGCCATGGGAATCTGTTTAGATTCATGAAATGAATGCACAAGGCATCCACTGATGGGAAGAAACATGACAGAGTATCCTGAGTACACAGGAGAAGGAAGAAAAGAGGGGGTAAATGAGGGGCACTGACCATCACTTCCAGCTACACTACCTATGACTGTTGAGACAAAAGGGTGGAGGTGGTGAATCCACTCAGGTGACTCCAGCTGTCTCAAAGCAGTCCAGTTCCTTGTGCTCAGCAGAAGCAAACACAGCACAGGGCCTCAGCTTTTGCCTACAGATGATTCATACACTCCTCTGAGATAAGACTGAGGAATGACCAATATGGGATCTTGTTCTAAGCAACCTGACAGAATTCCTACTGCTTAGGTTCATGGGGACATGGGACCTGGGGGGCATCTTACACAACCCACTGACAGCCATACCTGTCTCAGCATGGATCTGAAAACCCTGTACCGCAGCCGTTTGGTGAGGATCTCTCCAGCTTTGCCAAATGTGAAGCCCTGTGAAGAATGAGAAAATGCCACACAGAACATCTGTCAGACACAAGACACTAATTACACTAAAGGGTATCATTGCTAAGGTGGAATGCTACACAAAGTCAGAAGTCTGACTTCCAGGGTTTGCTACATTTCTGTGACTGTGTGCAAGGTGCAGGGTGCAAGTTGCACTGGTGATAAGGCCAGCAGAGCCTGGTTTTGACCCTGCCATTCCCAGCCAACTGGCAGGCTGACCAAGGATTTATTACAAATGTATTACTTGTCCTCACTCCCATCCTGACTGACTTCCCCCATGAATGGGGGTCTGTCATTCAGGAAGCTGGTATGGTTCTTAAGGCAGGAGCACTTAAAACAGGGTTGAGTATATTATGTATTATTGAAATTAGGACTCGTGAATTTGAAAAGGAGTGCTATTAATAATTATACAAGGACCTGAAGTGTAATTTGGATAAACATGAATTTACATTCTTCTAAGTCATAATAGATATAGACAAAAGGTACCAAATTTTTAGTTTTAAGTTGAAAATCCCAAAGTTTGGGAGTGAAACAGGTTGAGGAGGAAACCTGGCCAAGACAGAACTGTCTGCAGTCTCCACACTCATGGCAAAATCTGGGTATGGGAGGAGGGAATGGAGTGACTGGGAAACAACCGTAAGTGAGTGTGCTGCCATGCTGGCTCACATGTGGTGAGAAAGGAAAACAGAGTCCTCACTCCAATGAGCTTGGGGACACAGAAACAGAAGGAGGCTGTAATCACCTTTCCTTCTGGCGTGGGGAAGCAGAGTGGAAATGGCTGTCAGTATATCAGGGTGGGGAGGACCTGATAACAGCTCTGCATCTGCCACAGAATCAGAGAACAGAGAAGGGCAGCCACACCTGCTGTGTGCTCTCAAGTAGCATGCTGGACCTTAATGAGAGAGGGAAGAAACACATACAAGGGCACAAGGGAAGAAATAACCATTTCCTCCAAGTGTCCTGACAAAGGGGAGCATGGAATGGAAGGCCAGGTGGGGCCAGAGGCCCCTCAGATTGCAGCATTAAGGGAAGGGGGCACATAGCCTCTACTCAATGCTGCAATGCCACACAGCCTTCTGCTTAATACATACTGTCCATGCAGCAGTGGAGAAGGGAAAACTCCTACACTAAACAAGGTTAAGCCTAAAACTCCTACAGTTTACTGGGAAATGGTCACAGGAAGGTTTCTGCTGTTGGACCAAATGGAATATGGAGAGTCTTCCTGGCTTTGGGAAAATTATTATTATTACTACTATTATTGAGAGCTACCTTATTCTGACACTGTACCTTACACACATCATCACACTAAGTCCTATGACAACCCTGCCCAATCACCATGTTTCAGAACAAACTGAGGTGTAGAGAGGCTGACAAGGTGCCAGAGGCCACATTGTAAGTGGCCAAGCTGGAATCTGAATTCAGTCTATGAGAGTCTGAGTTGAATGGGAAGCCAGAGACTCTGGTCTGAGCTCTTCTCCCCACCAAACTCTTTCTCAAATGAACAGTTGGGCCCTCCTCCCTTTTTGGCACTATGCTGCTGCTACACCTGTGAAGTCCAGGAACTCAGAGACTGTTCAAACCTGGGTCTGGTAGGCACGGTAGGCTCAGCCTCTCTAAGCATCATCATGATACAAAGGAACTTCCTTAACTCCCTTTATGTCCCTGGTTCAAACTATCAAAGCCTACCTGAGACTAAATTCTTTACCAACCTCACAAGGAACAATCTTTACCTCTCCACAACCTGTGGCATTAATGGCTGGTGTGGCAAACTTGTATGTAGTTAGTGTCCTATGAACTCTAGCAAGGTCAAATTTCCCCATGAAACTTTAAATACTTCATAAACAAAGAGGGTTATTTTCTCTTGTGTCCCCCATAATGTCTAGAACAATGTCCTTTTAACAAATACAATACATGTTTATAATCTGCTAAATAAGCCTACTCAGAGTCTTTATTTTAAAAAAAATCCCATGTGGCTAGTCTCTGATTCGTTTAAGAATTATTTACTACACCTCACATAGCCTGGGCATGTGGTCCCACGACCTCTCTTAATCGTCAAGAGGCAGCATTATCTCTGTTTTACAGATAAGGAAACCGAAGCTAAGACAATTTAAAAGTTTAAGTTACTTATTTGCCAAAGGACATATAATAGTGAAAATAGTAGCTAAATCTAAGTCTAATACTGAAACCCACACCGTACTGCCATACCAGTTCCTTTGTGATGTCATTTTACCAAATGCTTTGCGAACTGTAAAATCTGACTATATAAATATTTCCTGCAGTTTTTTTGAGTATTGATATTCTTCTATCATTAAAAGGGATCTTTCTCATTTAGCAAAGGTGAATGAGAAAATTTTCAAACCATCCTACAAAAAGGAAAGTGTTTATAAATCCCCCCAAAAGTGAATGAAGGAATAATGTAGCTATTTACCTGAAGGAAATATGTAATAAAAGAAACAATTCCAATAACCAAAAACAGTAGTGAGTATAGGTTACTCTTCTGTCGTTTTGTTTCAGGATCATCATTAGTTGCGAAAACCTGTGAGAAAATATTTAAAGTGTTGTTAGTTCAATCACTGACGAAATTATTCTGTGTCTGATCCAGTTACCATCTGGAAGTTTTGAGGGTCAGTAGAACCTTAGCACACTGGAAGACAGCATTGGCTTTCTGAGTGGTACAGACCTCAAAGCCATCTGCATTTTGCTTTGTTAGAGACCCAGAGGCTCTGCCATCCACAAATTGATCCTTCTTCAAGTAAAGAGTGCCACCCAATTATATAAGCAATAAACACACACACTCCTCTTCCCTTGGTGAGGAACTACACTGCATGGCAACTGATTGCTTTACTATGTGGGTATTTCCAACTCTCCCAAGGTTTCTGGAGAGAATTTATTGATGAGCTCTTGCTGACAAGGGAGGTATGCTCATTTACTCAACCTTCCAGAAAGAAAGCAGCTCCTTAGCTAGCATTCCTTGTCAGATGACCAGTTAGAGGACAGGTGGAGAACTACAGCCAGTTAAGAACTATATCCACATGCAAAAACCTTTCCAGAGATGGTTAGAAGACCAAAAGCACATCTTGAGTTCAAGGAAAATCGAAAATACCCACTCCACAGGGAAAGAAAACACACTCCTCCCTAATGGGGCCCAAATCAGTCTTCTAAGAGAGGCTGTCTCTTAACCTAACTCAGATAATTTTACCCTTTCTTTTTTTCCTTTTTGGTGGGAATGGGGTTTGAACTCAGGGCTTCAAGCTTGCAATGTTGGCATTCTACCACTTGAGCTACACTTTCAGCCCTTTGCCCTTCATTTAAAAAAATTTTTTTTTTAGAAAACTAAATAAATTTTTCTTAACTAGTCATTTCAACAAAAATAATGAGAACTAATCACAGAATTCTTGCTCTGGTCCAGGCATGCAAATTCAAGCCTACTCTTCCTTTAATCCTAAAAAAAAAAAAAAACTCCTGATTTTTTTTTTAATTATCATCACCATTTCACACAGAGAAACTGAAGTACAGAGAAATTATCCTGCTGAAGGTGACAAAGCCAGAAAGGGATGGCCAAAGGAGATTAACACCAAGCCATCTGACCCATCATAACCCACTAATAACAATGAGGCAGATGGCTGCTTGCCTACCTAATTTCTAGGAGCTAATGTTCTAGCCTTGGTTCACCTACCTCCAGACTTAATGTTACATAAAGAATGAGAAAATATAAACTCCATAAGTTGAATTTTTGTTAAAACTAAAACATGCCCATTCTTAACTTACATACTTCCACTTCTGATGATATCACTATTTACCTCCCTGACTGCAAGACATATTAGAACTGAGATTATCAAACTATCAGCCACCATCAAACATATTCATTCACATTTTTAGTGGAATATAGTCAAGGTCATATGTTTACATATTATACATGGCTGATTTCACACAAGGGCAGAGTTGAATATATGCAACAATGATATGGACTATAAAGCCTAAAATATTTATTCTCTTACCCTTTAAAGAAAAAGTTTTCTGGCCCCTGTGCTAGAATATGGCTATGGAATCAGATATTTTGTCTCCACAGTATTTTTTCAGCACGTAGAAAAATATGTAGCATAAAGCAGGCACTGAAAAAATATTTCTTGAATGATCACATTAAACATGAATATCAACCTGAAATAAGCTAGTCAGGCATGGGTAGACTTGAATAGTTGCATATTTTTGTCGTAAAATGAAAAGTTAGTGTTAGGTTTATGCTTCTTCTGGCGGTCAATCTCTTTCTCCACAAGGTTTTCAGCAGTATGTCAAGGGGTGGCTTCAGTTTGATGGCTGAAAAACCCTCACTAACCAGAGAGCAGGTCTGCCCGTATTGTAACTTTGTTAATCAAAAGGCCACCATTACAATCAGATGGAACCCACATGTCAACCTCAATCTTCTAGGAGCTTGCTATAGTTTAGATTTGAGGTGTCCCCAAAAAAGGTTCATGTGTTGATAACTTTAGCTCCAGATGGTGGATCTGCTCATTTAGAGGTGACTGGATAATGAAGATGCTGACCTAACCAATGGATTAATCCCTTGATGGATTCATAATATGAGCACTACTGGTTTGTGAAGCCTATTTGGATGCAGTAGATCATTGTGATGGTGATGGTGGTGGTGTGGAGTGTGCTCTGGAAGGATATACATTGTTTCCAGCCCCTTAAAATCTGTTTCTGCTTCCTGGTCATCATGAAGTGAGCACACTCTGCCATATACTCCCACCATTAGGATATTCTCTCTTGCCTCAGATCCAAAGCAGTGGATCCAGCTAACCTTGGTCTGAAATCTCTGAAACTGTGCGCAAAATAAATCTTTCCACCTTTTAAACTGTTTCTTCTCAGTCATTTTTTTACAGTGATTAAAAGCTCACTAATACAAAGCTAATTCTTTTTATTTAAGTCTTAACAAGTGAGATGAAAATTATATCTTATATAGGTAACGTACTGTCCCAGTCATGTCCTGGCAAGTGTGTATGTTACAGAATAACTCATGTTCAACTGAGTTGAACAAACACATGAGATAGCCCCTTTGCACATGGGTGAGATGATGGCTCATGAGTTCTGCTTAGAGTTCCATGTTGAACTCTAAGAATATATAGAATATATATACTTTCTATATAAATATAGAAAAGTCACTTCACCAGTTTCATTGACTCTGGTCCTCAGATACTTAGGACAGAAATCATCAGGGCCCTGGGCAGAAACCAGGACTAAAGAATGTTTACAAAACTATCATTCTTGTCACAAACCAAAGAAGAACAGACTCTGTTCTGACATCTTCAGGTTCACCAGTTTCACATGAAGAGACATGTTTTTTGTCACTTGTGTATACTTATACAAATAGTTTCATTCTTCAGCCAGGATTCAGAAGTAAATATAAACAATGGTCATAAACTCTTACCCCTATAATCTTTGAAAATATAACTGCAAATGCTGGTTGCAGGCCTCCGTTTACAATGGCACAAATAACACCAACCACTAAATAAGGCCATTCGGTTAAATTCAGCTTTAGAATCCTCCAGAAAGAAACTGAAGGTACATTTTCATCCTAGAAAAGAGAAAACATTACAAAAAGCTGGTTTTTAAAAAAGAATTTGCCATTGATTTTGTGGTGTGCAATCTTCCATAGCACCATTTATTAAAATTGGTATGTCCCATTGTTATCCCTTATCAACCGGTGGCTATTTAGCTTGAAAAAAAGCACTGACAGATTATGCTACAGTTACCCTTTATTTTTTAAGAAATAAATGCTGCTCTCTCTTTTCTCTTTTTTTCTTTCTCTCTCTCTTTTTTTTTTTGTACTACTCACAGGCAGGTGCTCAACCACTTGAGCTATGCCCCAAGCCCTTTTTCTTTATTTTTTCAGAAAAGTTTTTATGGTTTTTGTTTCACCACCACCACCACCACCAGGGAGACCCAAACAATGTATGCACATGTGAATAAATAAACAAATAAATAAATAAAATTTAATTCATTTTTAACTCAAAAATTGTGTACAACACGTTGTTGCCAAACCCTTTTTCGTCACTAGACACCTATTAAGATCTCAGAGAACTGGTATCCTAAGGGAAAAAAATAAATAAATAAAATCCCACTATAATCTCTTTATATTAAAATTGTAATTCTAAAAATCTTTTAATTAATTCTTATTCTCAAGTTCTAAACAGCTTCTAAAGTGTTGACATTTTGGTTTCATCTCACTTGGAGGATAGGACAGAAGAAGTCTGGAAAATCATTTCTTGTTCCCCCTCCTACCCCAACCCCCAAACTAGGAGAGACATTGGGGCATAAAACTCTACATCTCCATCCATACCAGTGCCTCTTTTATACTAAGCTTTCTTTCTTGGCTTTGTGGTCCTCGCATACTCTTGCGGGTTGATCTTCTTCTTAGACTGGATCCTGAATCTTTTAAAGGCATTTCCAAGTCATCAAGTTCACTTCTAGATTCACAAACTTCACTTCCTGATTCAATTTCATTCCCTCTTGTCTAAAATGAATAAGAAATAGGCACAAGCTGATTAGGCTCAATTAATCAATAAAAATTAGTAACAGAACATAAGATATCAAGGAAATGGTTTAAGTTGTATTAGAAAAGGATGAGGTTAAAGCTGCTGTTTCTTTTTGTGTGGTACATTAAAAATGATAACCAGTAAGTAAGATTTCCCACTGGATATGCCGAAATAGTATGCCATCCCTCCCATCTATCTTATCTAGTCATCTCTTTTCTGAGATATTCAGCTCAATAAAGATGCTTTGGACCAGTGCCATCAACAGAAATATGGTAAAAGCCAAAACATGAACCACATTTGTCATTTAAAAATGTCTAGTATCTACATTAAAAATGTGAAAAGAGGTAAAATTTTAATTATATACTTTATTTAACAAAATATATCTAAGATATTATGGATAGCCAATGATATTATCCTATCAACATGTAATCAATATAAAATATTTGAGCTGGCTGAGTGGCTCAAGTAGTAGAGTGCCTGCCTAGCAAGCATTAGGACCTCAGTTCAAACTCCAGTGCCACCATTACCATAAAAATATTTTTTTTGAGATGTGTGATATTCTTTTTTTGTACTAATCCTTCAGAATTTACCTAAAACATTTCAATTCAAATGAACACCATTCAAATGTTCAGTAGTCACATATGACTAGTAGCTACTAGGTAGATAACTCAACTTTAAACCTTTATAAGCTTTTTTTTAAACTATCCTTATTTATCTCCTCTCTTATCAAGAAAAAATATCTAAAACACTGCTCTGCTCTTGCATTCCACTAATAGTTCCTCTAAGTTTTCAAGATAGTCAAATGAAATAATTTATTTATAGCATTAAGCACAGTAATATCACCTTATCACCAAGGTGATTTAGGAAAATTATAGAGTTAAACTGCACCTGCATTGTGACAAGTTTGAAGTAAATGCCTCTCTGCTTCATGAGTTCATCATGATTTCCTTTCTCCACGATGACTCCATCATCAAAACCAGCAATGACATCAGCACCACGAACTGTAGACAAGCGATGAGCGATCACGATAGTGGTCCGCCCTTCTCTGGCCTAAAGAGAAAGGGATTTGGCTTTCAGTTACACTAACAATAACATGCAAAAATTGATCCCTTCAACTTATATTTACTGAACACCAATGCTTTGGACATTGTAAAGCCATCAAAAGTATAGAAAATATTCTATGACTTTGATAAAGATATAGTCAACAGACAATGGTTTTAAATGATTTTTGGTTATAATAAGTATAAACACAAATATCACATTTACATATTAATATTATTTTATGCCTCTAAGTATGTTACTGAACATCTATCAGACTAAATTTATGGTAATCATCAGCAGTTTAGGCAAAACTCTGCAGGCAAGGCATTGAGCAGTCAAAACAAACACATGCCAAATTACTATCATATGTATCAGCTGTGATCAGCCCTAGAAATCATAAAGTCCGATATGTCACAGGACCACTTGGATAATTAAGACCACAAATATGGGGGAGCACAGATCAGACTCTAGCATTATATTATCCCAAACTCAACTCTTGCTTCTGCTACTTATGAATTTCAGAAATTTATTCAAGTCTCTTAACTTCTGTGAGGCTCAGTTTATTCTTGCACAAAATGGGGACAATGACAGTTCTCCTAGGGTAGATGTGATGAATAAATATTGCAATTCACATAAGGAATGTAGTACTGTACTTGTATAGAAAGTTCTTACCATGTGATACTTGTTCCTAGGTTAAAGCATTATGGGAAAAGTGAAGAGCTATATAAAAGTATTATATATGACCAATCTAATTTTTAACCTAACTTGGAACAGAGGCTTGCCTGAAATTTCTTTAATCTTTGTAACTTTCTCAATGCTTATGATTTCTGTCACTCTGTGTTGCTCTCCAGTAACAAGAAATAAAACTAAAAATCAGCATACATGTACACAAAATGCATACAAATATATCAGGGTTGAGATGAAAAAAATAAAACCAAATGAAAAGAAAAATAAATATGAAGGTAGTACCTAGAAAGTAGATTGTTTAATGGGCCAATTCTGTCTATTTTTGAGAAAAGGAGCAAACGTGTAAAATTCCTTCTCAAAAATTATAATCTAAAAATATTTTTAATAGAACCTTTTAAAATTGTTATTTATAATTTGATACTTCATTCCATTTTGCAATAATAATAAAACAGAGATAAGCAAACAATGCAAAAACACAGATGTAAACATCACAAATGTACAAAATGAAGGATGGCAGTAAAATGCAGCAGCAATTCCATCTTCCTCTATTTTAGTTCATAGAATGTTTAATAAGCTTCCTTTTCCAGCCTCAGTGATCTGTTAAGCATGTTGAAACTACATTAAAAAAACATACAGTGCTGTTTTATTAGACAACAAAGAGTCAGAACAAATACTGGTTCAATTTTGATAACTAAGGTCAGAGTTCAACACAAAGCATCTTTGGTGAGAAGGCCTGTATGTCCCTGGTGCTCACAGAGCTGGTTTGGTGACCATTATATGAAGACCAAGCACACAGTACCTGCATAGAGCGAGCACTCGGGTCCTAATTGGTGACTAAGTCTTTCAAGAAATGTAGAAAGGTCTAACTCTGTTCACAGTCAAGATTTCATGGCTCAGGTACTTTTCCAAGATCACAGGCTGTCTGACCCTCTACTGAGGAAAACAGGTTTCTCATTTCCCAGAGTCCTGACGTGCAATTTACCATACTGGAAATTAAATGTGAACCTTCAGATGTATTTTCCTCTTGTTGGCAAAACTACAAATTCTCAAAACTGAATAACAAGGTTATCCCCAGAGCTAAGTTTACAGCATGAAAACTTTAGTCTTCAATGATGAAGACTAATTTTCATTTGAATCCATATTTCTTGTTTAATTTAAAAGATTTACAAATGTCTTCAAATGAAAATTTATTTATTGCTACTTAAAAAAAGATTAGAGAAATATACAGAAATTGAATAAGCAAAGAATAACAGAAAAAGACTTTAGAGTCACTGATTTTTTGTTAACAGGTGAAGGCCTAGAATTTATCAGAAATGTCTTTCCCAAGGCCAAGAATTGGCCGTGGAATGTTACTATTCTTCTGAAACAGTTGGTTTGAACTAGGGATCACAGACCTTATCCAGAGCTGCCTGAACCACTGCTTCACTTTCCGTGTCCAAGGCTGACGTGGCCTCATCCAGCAGGAGGATCTTGGGGTTGCGAACCAGGGCCCGTGCGATGGCAATTCTCTGTTTCTGTCCACCGCTCAGCTGGGCCCCCCTCTCACCAACCAGGGTGTCAAATTTCTACAACAGAAAAAAACACAGAAAGATTTCACAAAACAACAAGCCATCTCAGTTCACATTTTAAACAGGGAAGAAAACCCCCATAACATCTGAGTCTTACTGGCAATATAAGGTAGTTTTTTTAAAACTTAGCAATAAACAACACTAATTTAAAAAATATATACATCTACACATATAGATATAGATATAGATATCTCTCACTGGTTGTTACTGCTAGAGCTTAAAAATCCAATGTAATCTTGGTTTCCCTTCTAAGGAGCTTCTAATTCACAGAAATTTCCGAGCTGTATGAACTTCCATTCTTTGCATCTCTGAATGACAAAGGTCAAGAACAACTCACATGAGGCAGTTTCATGATAAAGTCATAGGCATTGGCTTCCTTGACAGCTCTCTCAATCTCATCCATGGTGACATCTTCACGACCATAGCGAATGTTTTCAGCTATTGTGGTTGCAAACAGCACAGGTTCCTGACTCACTACACCGATAATTTCCCGCAGATACCTTACATTTATGGTCCTAATGTCTTGCCCATCAATACTGACCTGAAATTTAAAGAAACATGTGTGATTTTCATACACTGGTAGTTGAACTCAGAATGGTGTGTAATGGCAAGTACTGATGGCTGCAGCCTAGCTCACCACGCCCTCTGTGGGGTCATAGAGCCTCTGCATCAGCTGCACTGTCGTGCTCTTCCCACAGCCACTGTTCCCAACCAGAGCCACAGTCTGCCCGCTCTGCACCTTCAGGTTGAGCCCTTTCAAGATCTACAAGACAAATGAAAAATAAACATTAAGACAACTCAGAGATACAGATGCAGGGTCTCTGAACCAACAGCTCAATTCAATAGTAGGCTTAAATAGACATGTGTTTTCCTTTTAAAAAGTGTCTAAAGGAAAGTGTCAGAAATTCTTCATCCAGTAGCTTAATCATTCGTCACGATACCTTAACTTCTTTACGAGATGGGTAACTGAAGTGAATATTTCTAAATTCCAAATTTCCCTTAATGTTATCTGGTTTGTGTCCACTCATTGAAAAGCTGTCAATGCTTGGCTTCTAAACAGAAAAAAAAAAAGGGTATTACTAGATTATAATAACTAATTTGTGGTGAAACTTTGTGAAAAGCTAGACAAAGCGAAAACAAAATTGACTCTTAACTACAAAATCTTTTATGTAGATGGACAAATAGCCATGTCAGACTTACATTGTCAATTATCTTGAAGATTTCATAAGCTGCCCCTCTTGCGTTTGCAAATGCTTCAATGTTTGGAGATGCTTGTCCAGCACTAAAAGCCCCAATTAATACAGAAAAGAAGACCTGAGGAAAGTAATTAAAAAACCCCATCAAATTACTTTGTGTTTACCTCAATTTTTTTGCATATTCCTTTTCTTCCAACATAAAATAGAATCTGTTAGCAAAGCTTCTGCCATATAAATTGTTGGCTAATATAATTCCCAAATTATTTTAAAATCCATTTTAAAATAGCAACAAGGCACAATAAAAAATATGGGGTCTTCAAAATACTTTAAAAGTTTGGAATTAAGAAAATAAGTTTCAAATGTATTCCCCTAAAAAATTTCAGTAAGTGAGGTGATAATGTTAATCAGCTTGATTTAATCACTCCACATTGTATACATATGTCAAAACATCACATTATACTCTGATATAAATATAATTGATAAAATAATTATATTTATCAATTAAATGATAAAATTTTAAACATAAAAAATTAAAGTTTAGGTACTTTTTTTTTTAGTCTGTTTAGAATGCAGAATCAGTCTTACTTCTTCAGTGAAACAATGACATAAGTACTAGATGACCATTACATGTCTTCTTTAATGGCTAAGAATTTTTATTTACATTAGTGTGGTGGGGGGGTAAAATGGAAACAAATGCTATGGTAAATCAGAAAAGCCAGGCCAAAGTCTACATTAGCACTAACTGGCTATATGTCTTCAGGATATTCTTGCAGAATCTTGGTCTTCAATGTCATTTGCAAAGACAGGTAAGACAAATTCTCTCTACGTGTTGTGCCAGCTGAAAGTGTCTAAGGAAACACTTTGTGAATTATAAAGCACAAGCCTAAGGCATGACTATCAGGTGGAGGCTCCCCTGCCCCCACCCCCATCTCACCAGACTATGTCTCTTTGCAGTCTGAAAAACAGGTTTTGGGGTTTTAGTTTTTGCTTGTTATTAAAGATTTGACTTTGCTTCCATTTGACATTGAAGAGAACTGTGACGTTTTTCATTTCCTTCTGAGTCACATGGGAATTATATTGGCCAACAATTTATATGGAAGAAGCTTTGCTAATGGATTCTATATTCATTATCTCCCTTCATTTTTAAAGGGCATACCATTCCTGTCAAGTCCATTTGGCAGAAGAGGTAATAGAAGCTTGAAGAATTTAAACAGCTGTCCCAAATATTATAGATAATAAGTAGCCCAGCTGAAATTTGAACCATGTAGGTCTGCTGTCAAACCCCGCACTATTCTGTATGCCTCCAGTTTGTGAAGCAGATTTGGGGTAAGAGAACAATGAACTTAACTTCTTATCTAGGGCTAGGAGAGCAGCTCAATGGAAGAAGGGCTTGCCAAGCATGCATGAGGCCTTGTGCTCAAAACTCAACACCACAAAAAAATTAAAATAAAACCAACTGCTTATCTACATCACAATTAAGCAGCATATATCTCAGTACAACCTAGGCTCACCTATAGCCATCACTTATCAAAAGAAAGTCTTATCCATATTACAAATCTGAATCCTGAAAAAGGGAACTATCTTAAGGGATTCAAAGAAATATGATCTGTCACTAACTCAATATACTTGTGTTGGCCTAAGAAAAAGAAGTGGAATGAGTCTTGTGGGAGAAAAAGAAGTGGAATGAGTCTTGTGGGAGAAAAACTAGTCCTCCAAGTTTGAAACAACCATTCCCATTTTGGTGAAGGAGCACCCATTATGTCCACTAGAAACCCTGGCCTGCATCCAAGGAAGGAAAATAAACAAACTACACATCAAACCAATGGGATAACGGATATTGAGATTGTTAACATTTCCTCCCGGGAACCAGGCAGTTACTATAAACAACTGTTGTCCTGGAGATCTTTAATCATGGCTCCCTCCCTACGAGCTCATGGCATTCCCCATGCCTTGTTGCCCATAAAATAAAAAAAAAAGAAATGTAATCAAGGGTAGGTGTGAATGCAGTGGAGCAGCTGTTAGTCACCCACTGCTCTATAGGTAACTCAAAGTGCAACTCATTCACTCAGCAAGCTAGACTTATCTTCGTCATTCTTTGGGCTGTTGGCCTTGTGCCAGTTGGAAGGCAAACATTTTTTTGTCTCCCAGGGAAGATCACACAGCAGCTTCTAATAAGTTATAGATTAAGCTTGATTTTCAAATTAGTTCATTGTCTTTAAATAGAAGAAGATAACATCAAATGGCAAGACTTCTGTACTTGTACAAAGCTCTAAAATGTAGAAGACTTTCAAATAGAATTTTCTTTTAGGAAGACTGTTTACAGTCTTACAAATTTGTGAGGTGGATTGGCTGCCATCCAAAAGAGTTTAAAAGTAAGTTAAACTGTGTATTTTGACTGGGCACCAGTGGTTCACACCTGTAATCCTAGCTACTCAGAAGGCTGAGATCAGGAGGATTGCGGTTCAAAACCAGCACAGGCAAATAGTTCGCAAGACCCTATCTCGAAAAAATCCATCACAAATAAAAGGGCTGATAGAGTAGCTCAAGGTGTAGGTCCTGAGTTCAAACCCCAGTACTACAAAAAACTGTGTATTTTGCCATTTGTTATGTTGATTAGTACAAAGGCAAATAAAACTGAGATCCTTAGTATCAAGTTTCCTACAGACATAATCTCATCAAATGAAAGTTCATGCTAGAGAGCTTGGTAATGTTAATATTATTTAGGCTACAGAAGAAATTTTGCAAAAAATCTGAAAGACAACAAAATCACCTGTTGAATGTCTCTAATTTCCTTCCTATTCTTTATCCTAGTAATGATTAATTCATCCATTCACTCACTCATTCATTCTCTCTCTCTCTCTTCCCCCTTTCTCTCTTCCTCCTTCCCTCCCTCCCTCCCTCCCTCTCTCAATACTGGAAATTGAACTCAGGGCCTCGAGCTTGTCAGACAAATGCTGTAATATTTTGTCTCTTTGTAAAATTCAATACTTATTCAAATTACATTATTTTCAAATCAAGCCAATACCATTCAATTTCATTGGCATTTTCAACAGTGAGTTTTTTTTATAACTCATGTACAACTTACAGTGATCACTTTTCCAATAGAATATTCATTTGAGAGGACCAAGGTAGTCCCATACCAGAATGCCAGGGCATATGACGCATAGATCAGCAGGAAAGCAGCACCCATTGCAATGTTGGCTGTGATTGCTTTCTTTATTCCCATGCTTTTAGCTTCTTCTAAATTTTTATTGTACCTGGGAGAAAGAATTAAAATTGTTGCATTTAAAATTATATGGAAATTTTTTGTTTATGTAGCATAATGGTTATTGAGTAGTTAGAATGTTCCCAACCCAACAGTATGTGTGTATTTTCTCCTTTTTTGTATATATCAACCCTATGATGTGTTATTACTATTTTATTCCTTTTTGTAGAAGAGGAAACTAAAACTCACAGAGAAAAGTATGTGTGGGAGAGTCTTCTAGAAGTTCCTTCTCTAGTCTTAGCAGTAGTGAAGGAAGTGAAGTTCCATATGTATTGTCTCATGCACAAGACAAAATAGAAGCCAATGAAAAAATTGTTTTCCTTTCAAAATCTGCACATTGGATGGGTATAATGATGCATGCCTGCAACCCCAGCTACTAGAAAGGTACATGCAGGAGAATATTGAGTTTGAAACCAGTCCAAAGTAGTGAGACCCTATCTTAAAAAGGATTGGGAGTTTAGCTCAATCGGTAGAGCACTTGCCTACTCAATGCCAGGCAAAGTTCAATTCCCAGTACAACAAAAAAACCTACATACCCATTTCAATAATTAATAAAATAGAGATACAATGCTAGAAAGAACTAAACACAAAGCAAGTCATTTAAAATCTCTGATCCTTAAGGACAGTTTGAGGCTCCTTGCCCTGCCTGTTTCTGGGACTGTTGGAAAGATCAACTATAAGATTACACGTGTGAAAGCATGTTAACAGCTTGTGCCATAATATATGCGATACCTTTTACATTCAAATAAGCTGAATGATTTATCTTACTTTCATAGATGTCTCTTTTAAAAATCACTGACCTATAAAATTTATTTGGCTTAAGAATATGTAAGAGCCTATCATTATTTATCAGTGTTTTCTTCTTTATCTTTTCTACATATTTCCTACTCATCCTTCCCAACATTTGTCTGCCACAGATGCTTGCTGCTGGGATGAGGGACTTTAGCCTCATGGCTAGGGCCACCCAAGCCTCTCGACAGCATATTTACAAGTCAGTCTTGTAACCTGCTCACAAAACAAAGGTCTTGAACAACAGCTGTTAAGACTTCTTTGAGTCCAGCATGGTGAAACACATCTGTAATCTCAGCACTAAGGCGACTGAGGCAGGGGGGATTGAGAGTTTCAGGCCAGCCTGAGTTATATAGTGAGACCCTGTCTCAAAAAAAAAAAATGCAAAAAGCCACACAAAAATTTCTTTGAGCAAATACAAGGGATTTCACAAAAGGTGGCAAAAACAAACAAGCAAAGAAAATAACAAAAAAAAAAGAGTTAGAATTCACTGACACTTTTTTTTCTCCAATTTTAATGACTTAAAACTTCTTCCCAAATGATAGCTCAAATACTTTTAAACCCTCAGACAGTGGACAATCGCTGACGTTAAAGCTGAAGAGATGGTGCCTGGAGCTTTACCTTCATTGGAAAGGAATACAGCAGACTGTTCTGCTCAAGAAGAGAGCTGTGCAGATAAGCTAACAGAGCCCAAGTTAAAGAAAAAGAGAATTGTGCAAATATAGAACTAAGGTAAAATTATCAAGGAAGTAGTACAGATTATAACTGAGTCTTAAATCTGCCTTTATCTTCTTTATCAGACTCCCTGCAGAACCTAGAACATTCATTGCTTTGCAGAAAGGAGGTCACTATTTAAAATGTAAGAAATTAATTCCACATAGAATTCATCTTTTGGGATCTTTAGTCCATTAAATACATGGCTATATGAATACTATAGAATATTATATTTATTTTCACTGGAGGATTTGTCTAATCAGCAGGTAGGTACACCGCAGTTCAAGCCCAGCCCAGATATGAACATGCATTCTTTATAGCCTTCAGGACTTCTATTTTTAGATAGCTACTTCACAAGTTACAAAAGCATGTCAAATGAAATTTACATAAGTATCACATCCACTAAAGACTAAATTTAAACACAGATTTATAGTTTATGGTGATAAGATATGTAATTGCTAGTCATAATCTATGAACAAAAATTATTTTTAAGAAATATGTTTCAACATATATACATGAAAATACCACAAGGAAACTCCCTGTATAGTTATCGTTATCTCAAAGAAGCAAAAATGTCTGGCTTTTTTTTTGTGTGTTTTTAAAATCTTTTCTCTTCTGCAAAATCAGAGAACAACAGGGCAGAACAGGTGCTGCCCAGTGAGGAGGGCTGGCACCAGTGCGAGCGGAGAAGTGGCAGGGAAAGGTGGCAGGAGGGTGAATACAGCGCAAAAAATGTGTACATATTCATGTAAATGCAAAAAAATGATACCTGTTGAAACTATTCTATGAATGGGGGTGATAAAGGGGAACAGTGGAGGGGATGAATTCAAGTATGATATATTTGATACATTGTAAGAACTTTTGTAAATGCCACCATGTACCCCCACCCCAGTACAACAATAAAGGAAAAAAAAAAGAAATATGTTTCAGTAAGGTGTGTGGTGTGTGTGTGTGTGTGTGTGTGTGTGTGTGTGTGTGTGTGTGTGCTTGTGTTAGGAGTTCAGTAGAGGCAAATTTAATGATTTACTTGCTATAAATTTCACATGATTACATTAATGAACATTAATGCTCATGACTCATTCGCATCATCTCTTTTACTTACTTCAAAACCATTTCACTGATAAGATGTCTTATGCAGCCAGAGGAAACATTTACATAGGAAGAAGCAATGACAGGAAGAAAACAATTTAGATAACACAAAAGACAAATGAAAATAAGGGGATTGATGAGGGAGGAGATAAAAAAATACACTATCTTCATGGACTTTGATTACTTTAAAAAAAAAAAAAGTCACTGAAAACCAGATTTAAAAGTCATTCATTCATTAGAAGCTCTAGTATGGAAATGATAATTAAAATGGGAGTGCGTAAAACACACTAAAGTGATATAAAAATATTTGTGTTTCACAAATATTGCTCTTAACTCATGAAAATGTCAAAGATGCAAGTAGTTATCTACAACAGCAAGGAACAATTTTGGTTATGTATAGAGAAACTGGGTGCAAGTGGCTCACGCCTGTAATCCTAGCTACTCAGGAAGCAGAGATCAGGAGAATTGCAGCTTGAAGCCAGCCCAGGCAAATAGTTCCACAAGACCTTATCTTGAAAAACAAAATAGGGCTGGTGGAGTGGCTCAAGGTGAAGGCCCTGAGCTCAAGCCCCAGTACCACCAAAAAAAGAGAGAGAGAGAGAGAGAGAAAGAGAAACCAATACTAGTAGACAAACATATCTACAAGACACACATAAGAAAGAGGAACATTTTTAAATGAAGAAGAACAAAACTATTCTAACTATTGAATTAAATGCTTTTACTATTCTGGTTAAATTTCAAGAAAACCAACTTCCTCTTGTACCTGCTACTTTGAAAAAAAGTCAGCCCAAGACCGACTGCTTGTCTATGTAGACTCAGAGAAGGAAAGAAGAGTGGGAAAGAAACTGAAGGATTATAATGCTCTAAAAATAATCTTGTCAGTTCTACTTCCAAGTTACATCACAAATCTAAGAACCTATCTCCCTTGTCTTGTCTCCACTCTAAATCAGACCTCCATAATCCCTCTCACTACATTAGCCCTCCCACTGGTCTCCCTGGTCCCACCTTTTGACTGCTCTCATCCATTCATCAGACCCTTTACGTACAAGGAAATTATTATAAAATATGTCATAGACAGTCATTCATCTCTTTAACACCCTCAGCCACTTGCCCCTGCCCTTAAAATAAAATCTGAACTCTTCTCCATGACCTACACATGCTGGCCAGTATCCACCTGAATCTCTCCTCTCTCAAGGGAGCTCTGGCTACACAAACTTTATGATATTCCCAGAGCATGCAGAAGTCTCTGCCTGATCAGAAATTTGAACATCTTTTTTTCCCACACATCTCATCCCTCTGCCCATCATGGGAAGCTTTTTCTTACCCCGCAGTTCTCAGCCTAAATGAAACGTCCTCAAAGAAGCATTCACTAAAATGTGCCTCCCTCATTTTCATCAGCACATTCTTTGATTTTTTTAAAAGTACTTTGTAAAAGTCTATAACTTAGTGCCTCTCTTAAATAGTTCCTATAAGGACTCTCTCAGAATATTCTGTTTTATTTTTCCAAATAACAGTTAATCAACTGGTATCCTAAATATTTGCTTATTTGTAATTGTCTGTGCTTTTCCTCTCCTCCTGTTAGAATCTAAGCTCTATGAGAGTCTGGACTTTATTTGAGGGGTTGCTAGCACATCTTTAAGCAAGACTTCCCATTTTATTAGTCAGACTATTTAAAGCAAAGGACTTGCCAAAAATTAAAATAGAACACAAATAGTGCCTTCCTTTGAATTATGGCACTTAACCATCATAAATTATGTTTCGGGGTGTGAAATAGTATCAAATGAACAACAGAGTACTTCAATCACATATGTACCATGTAAAAAATAATTCTATAGTACCTACTCATGTAAGCACAGTTGAGGTCAAGAAACAGAACACTGCTATGTTTCTGTAGGTGTATGTACAGACTCCCTGGCTATGTTTCCTACTCTTATTACACAACTTCTCTTCTTTCTGAGAGGTAAGCATTATTTTGACTAATAAACATTCTTATGCTTTCCTGTATGGTTTACCACACAATGTCTGACACCAAAACAATACAGTTTATCTTTTCCACATATATATATTTATAACATTAAAGTATTATGTCATAATATCATAATATATTAAATTTTTAAAAAGTCTATTGCTGCTAAGAAACCAATGGATCTGATAAATATTGTGAATTTCAATAAATCACTATAAAAGAACCAGTAACAAGAGTAATACTAAAGAACACACAATAAAAAGCAAGCTTGAACTTTTCCACAAATGTACTTTTTGGCTATATTTTTATCTTCCAAATCATAGAGCCTATCAACACTACAAAGGAGCCTGGACAAGAAAGGAAGCAAGTGACATTAACATATTCCAATTGATCTTATGCAAAATACTCATTTGTGATAAGACAAAAAGTAATCAGAAATTTAAAATACATTGAGATTTTAGTAAATTATTTTTATGTCAAACTCTAGAAATTTCTTTGAATTACAACTAGAATTATAACTTCTCAAGAATATCAGTCATGCTGTAATATACCCATTAAGTTATCTAAGGAAACATGTTTATATTGGAAAACACTCCTACAATTAACATGTAAGCGCCTATGAGATGACCCAGAATCAAATATTCCTAGCAACTTAAAAGAGAAACTCAAACCTTTCAAGTTCTTTCTTTTGTCCTCCAAATGCAATCACAGTCCTAATGGCTGCTAACACTTCTTCAGCTACTGCTCCAGCTTTTGCATATGCCAACAGTTCTTTATCAGTAAATGAAGATAATATCTGTTAAAAAATGCAACTTCAGATCATCAAAAATATTAACAAGTTATAAACACACAAATGCTGCTTGTATATTAATGCATGTGAAGAACAATATCTTTCTTTCAGTTTGTCTTTCCTCATGATGTTCTCTATTTAACATACATATTCATTCTGTAAGCCACTTCAAATTCTTTTTGGATTGAATGATACATAATAAATTAGATTAGTTGCAAACTTTCCCACTGAAAACATCATGGCCTCTCATCTAAATAAATATAAGTGGAACTTTTGGGGATGCTAAATTTCAGAAAAGAAAATATATAACACAGTATAATAATAAACAAATATAAATAGGCATTATGTCAAGGAAGTATGTTGTGTGCTCCTCACAGCAATTGTTAACTGCACTCTGGTTCAGAAGTGTTAAGGTGGAGGCTATCGGAATGCAGGGGACCAAGTGACTTCAAGAAGGCTTCTCTTGCCAGGGTAAACACAGAGTTTCCTCTGCTGCTGCTCCTGGGAGAAACAACACTTTTAGCCACCAGGGAGGTTTTTGTTTCCTAGATGATCTTTGATCTTACTGTTTGGTTCCTGAACATTCATTCTGTAGACAGAACATTCTGGTTACCTTATATGCACAAAATCTCATTTATTCTTTTTAGCTTCACAGTAAAATAAGTCTTATTTCTTATGCTTAACATATGAGTTAACAAAAACATGAGAGGATCAGTGTTTTGCTAATAAGTGCCAGCATTCAGGGTTCAAATCTAAATCCAGGAGGCTTCAAAACCTGAACAACAACCACTGGAGAGATTCTCTCTCTCTGAAACAAACCACAACCGACTCATGAACTATCATGAAAGTTGGATCAGTTGATATGGGCAAAGCAATGAGGTTACCGCTTATCCCAGGAAAGCCCAAGTGGTCAACCATCTAAAGAAATATTATACACAACCAATTTACAAAATTGTGATTAAGCAGTACTATACTCTTTCAATATGTAATTCACAGTATTTGTGTACTAATTTACATAAATAATATCAGTATATTCTCTGGCATAAAAAGATCAAAGTTGTTTTGATATAACAGTGCTTTTCTTCCTTTCCTTTGTGTGAAAATAAAGGGAGTTATCATAGATATGGTTGAAGGGAAATAAATATGTATTAATGATGTTTATGGGCTGACATTATGACACAGGTATCTGTCCACTTTGGTATACCTCCTCCCAAAAATATCCCACTGATTCACTAGACCTTCCTGACTTCTGAAAGCCTTCTTCCTACCTGCCCTCCACACTTCACTGAATCAGTCACAGCACTGAAATTGAGTTAGGGTAGTCAGCTCCCCTCAAAATCCCTCTGCGCTATAAATGTCCACACTGGAGATGGCCAACAATAGGAGGATTACCAAGAAATATTTTTCAATTAGGAGTTTAACAACATGCTATTCTAATTTATTGCTATATAAATATAGCAATAAATACATATATCAATATATATTGATATATATATGTATTCAAGTTCCATCCTGAATTTAATAAATCTGACTCCTATTTTCCTTCTATAACTTTCAATAATTCTAAGCAGAAGAGAATATGGTAAATCTTTACTGATTTTTTTTCTTCAAGAGACCATGCCTATTAAAACAAGAGGGAAAAAAGCTCCAACCTCTTCTCAGGAATATGAAATGCCAATATAAAAGATTAGAAAGCTGGCACTTCCACTATTACAATTACCCATATGAGCTATCTAAGGTATCACAAACCCATTCCTTTTCCAAAGCCTGATAATTTCTCCATAAAGCTTAATAGGCATCTGGTTGAAACACATGAAGTTGTGATTTCTGTAAACTAAAACCTTAATAGGCACTTTTGTACTGTTCAAACTAATACATTCAAAAGCAATATTTTGGACCACTCACTGCAGGAATTTTGATCACATCTTTAAGCCATTTTCTATTTCTCAATCTAGGCTTTCGTTATCACTTTGTAAATGATTTATTTAGGTTTTTTTAACTTTTTATTTTGAGACAATTGAAAACTGACACATATTTGTAGAAGATGACAACAAAATGGCATATACTTCTTGTTCAGTATAGCACATCTTGAAAACTACAGAATCTAGATTCACTGATGAGTTCTACCAGACCTTTAAAGAAGAACCAACATCAATGTTCCTCAAACTACTCACAAAATACAATGAGAAGGACCATTTCCAAACTCATTCTATGAGGTCAGTGTTACCCAGATACCAAAACTGGATAAGGACACAATAAAAAAGTAAAACTATATAAAAAAAAAAGAAAACTACAGCATATATCCCAACCAAGAATTTAATATTGATATAATCCAACAATGTTTTTCACATTCACCACTTCACATACACTCATTATGTGTGTGCATTTAGTTCTAAGCAATGTTGCCACCTATAGAGATTCATATAAGTATCACTACAGTCATGATGCAGAACAACTGTATCAATCACAAGGGTCCTTCATGGTACTTTTTATAACCACAGATGTCTTTGCATACTTTTTGCCTCTTCTCTTCCTTAACATCCCTAAATTCTGGCATCCACTAATCTGTTGTCATCACTACAACTCTAATTTTAAGAATGTTTTATAAATGGAATCATACAGCATGTCCTTTGGGGATAGGCAAATAGTAATACCCCAAATAATAATATTATTATTTACATAGCATAATTCTCCAGAAATCCATCCAGGTTGTTGCATTTATTAGTTGCTACTTTTGTTTTATCATGAGTGGCATTCTGTTGTAGAGATGTTCCAGTTTGTTTAACCATTTGCTGGTTGAAGGAGATCTGGATATTTCCCAGAAGCCATTATAAACAAAACTGCTTTAAAATACCATGTACAGGTTTTTATATCAACATAATTTTCTTTTTCATAGATAAATGCTCAAGAGCAGAGTTGCTGGATCATATGATTACTGTATGTTTAGTTTTATAAGAAACTGTGAGATTCACAAGGGAGGGGTGAGGATAGGCAAGACACCTAAAAAACTAGCTAGCATTTGTTGCCCTTAACGCAGAGAAACTAAAGCAGATACCTTAAAAGCAACTGAGGCCAATAGGAAAAGGGGACCAGGAACTAGAGAAAAGGTTAGATCAAAAAGAATTAACCTAGAACTAGAGAAAAGGTTAGATCAAAAAGAATTAACCTAGAAGGTAACACACACGCACAGGAAATCAATGTGAGTTAATGCCCTGTATAGCTATCCTTATCTCAACCAGCAAAAACCCTTGTTCCTTCCTATTATTGCTTATACTCTCTCTGCAACAAAATTAGAAATAAGGGCAAAATAGTTTCTGCTGGGTATTGAGGGGGTAGGGGGGAGAGGGAGGGGGCGGAGTGGGTGGTAAGGGAGGGGTTGGGGGCAGGGGGGAGAAATGACCCAAGCCTTGTATGCACATATGAATAATAAAATTAAAAAAAAAAAAGAAACTGTGAGACTGTTTCCAGAGTAGTTGTGCCATTTCACATTCCTGCTAGCAAATCTATAAGTGATCCAGTTTCTCTGTACTCTCTCCAGCATTGGGCATTTCACTCTTTTACTCTTTTGCCATTCTGATAAATGTGCAGCGGTATCTCACTACGATTTCATCTGCATTTCACTGATGGCTAATGTCACTGAACAACTTACTTGTACTTACTCTCTCTGTACTTACTCTCCATCAGTATATCCACTTTCCTGAGATGTCGTTCATGTCTTTTGCCCTTTCCCTAAATAGATTTTTTTTTTTACTGTTGAGTTTTAAGAGTTCTTTATGTATTACATACAGTTCTTTTTCGGATATGCAGTTTGCATACAACTCTTGCCTTTTAATTCTCTTCACATGGACTTTCAAAGTAAAAAATTTGATTTTGAAGTTCAATTTATCATTTTTTCCTACTAAGGATCATATTTTTAGTATCAAGTCTAAGAACTTTGTCTAGACCTATATTCCAAAGATTTTCTGTTTTTTTCTGAAAATTTTTACAGCTTTAGGTTTTACATTTAAATCTGTGATTCAATTTGAATTAGTGTTTGTATAAAGTATGAAGTTTAAGTTGAGGTTCTTTTTCATTTCTTTTAATTTTTTGTTTGGCTTGTGGATGTCCAATCATCATCTCAGCACCATTGTTGAAAAGGCTGGACTTCCTCCACTGAATTGTTGGACATATTTGCATGGGTCTATTTCTAGGTTCACTATTCAAAAATCAGCTGGGCTTATTTGCTTAGGTCTATTTCTGGGTTTTCTATTCTGTGTGATCTGTGTGTCCATCCCCAAACCAATACACACTGTCTTGATCACCATAAAAATGCAGTAAGATTTAGTGTCAGGTAGACTTCTTCCTTTGACTTTACTCTTCTTCTTTCAAGATTGCTTTAGCTATTCTAGGACCTGTGAATTTCTATGTAATATTTTGCAATACACTTACTTTCTTATGTCTACAAATAGCATTTACTGAAATATTTAAAGAACTTATCTTCAACTTTGGAAAGAACTGACATCTTAACTATGTTGGGTCTTAATCCATGAACACACTATCTCTGTTTATTTAGTCGTCTTTGATTTCTCTTATTAACATTTAAATATTTTATCATGCAGATCCTATACATATAACTATTTATCTAAGTTTTAAATTTAATTGGGAATGATTACAGAAGGTATTATATTTAGCTAGGCATAGTGGTACACACCTGTAATTCCAGCACTCCAGGAGGATTGTGTGTTCAAGGCCAGCATGGTCTACATAGAACTCTTGTATCCCCAAAAATGTATTTTATTTTTAATATCAGTTTCTACATATTCACCAATAGTGTATAAAAATGCAATTGATATGATATCCTGTGACCTTTATGAACTCAATTGTTACAGATTTTTGTACATTCTTGGGATTTCACATAGAAAACATTCAATCTAGAAATTGTTTTATTTCTTCCTATCCAATATATGCCTCTATTTATTTTCTTGTTTTATTGCAGCAGTTAAAAGTTCCAATGCTTTGATGAAAAC